TCCGTAAGTTCCTGTAAATGCGCCAGCCCGACCCTGTCTCCCTCCTCCTCTTCCTCCTCCCCCTCCTCCTCCTCCTCCTACTCTGTGAAAAGGTATTATGTTTTGTGGTGCTACGTGAGTAAAAATCAGGCGCCATGTTGACTTGTTAGTCGCATTTGAAGAACCGAAATTGGCACATTGCTAAAACAATAACGTAGTCATTGATCTGATGTTAGTTTACTGTGAGGGTCTTCAAGATGCTATTGATCCTTCGCGACTGTAGTCACAACCTCGTTCTCGATGTTCAGATCTGCATAGGCTTGTCTATATCGTGCAAATGCGGCTTAGGTGGACATGGTAGAAAACCTTGACATCGGCAGGGGTATTATGTAAAAAACCTAATAAACGTCAAACTAGGTAGTTTTTTGTATGTTCATTCCACGTTTGCTCGCTACCATCTCTCAATCAGGTTTTACATCACATCAGACCCAAAAATTGATAGCTGAAGCATAATGACGTCTAGGCGACACGTACAGCTACAAAAAGAGCTCATAATAAGTGTACAATTCTTGAAAATGGCCCTCTTCACTTAGTATGCATGCTTCCGCCCTCCTCCTCATGGAATTGCGCACTCGTTGAAATATCGCTGGAGTGTTTTTTATTCTATCACAAGCTGCAACTATTCTTTCTCTTAATTCCTCTGCAGTGTTAATAGGTCTTGTGTACACTAGTGTCTTAAGATAGCCCCACAAAAAGAAATCTAAACTGTTGAGGTCTGGGGACCTTGGTGGCCATTCTTGGGGCCCACCGCGGCCAGTCCAACGATTTGGATAAACAGTTTGTAAATAATTAAGAGCTGCTACACTGAAATGCGCTGGTGCACCATCATGTATGTACCACATATTGTTTCTTATTACTAACGGAACATCATCAAACAGCAAAGGCAACTGTTGTTGAAGAAAATTGAGGTAAGTCTGTCCGTTAAGTCGTCCCGGCAAGAAGAATGGGCCAATAAAGTGATTGCCAATAATTCCTGCACATACGTTAACCGAAAATTGGTCTTTGAAATGGATTTCAGTTACGGCATAAGGATTTTCTTCTGTCCACAAATGATTATTCTGGAAATTCTGAATGACATTTCGAGAAAAATTAGCTTCATCCGTGAATAGAATCATTGATTCCAATTGCGGATTTTGTGTAATTTTACCACTGAAAAAAGGTCACACGAATTGGAAAATCAATGGGAAGTAGTGCCTGTACTCTTAAAATATGGTAAGGATATAACAAAAAATCCACTAAAATGCAGCACTGCTTCCTCAATTTCAGGTGTTCTCACGCTTAGAGGTCTACCTTCAGATGTTCCTTTTCGGACAGAACCAGTTTCAACAAGACGACGATGAATATTAGAAAAGGTTCGACTATCTGGCAAAGCACGATCGGGATATCTCTGGTGATAAATCCGTCTAGCTTGCTCACCATTATCGTCGGCAAGGCCATATACGTAATGCATTTCCGCCATTTCTGCATTTGAATAATTCACCATTATTAACAAGATTGTAAAAACTAAATAATGAAAAAGATGTCACAGCGAACAGATTTGAATAACAGAGACTTGTCAGATGTCAAAAGCCAGTGACATATTCCAGAGCAACTAAATATTTATTGCTAAATTGCATTCGTCAATTATTACATTGATTTTCTCTGATAATAGAACAGTTTTTATTTTTTTACTCAAAAATGGCGCATCAAAGGAAAACAATTTAAGAGAGATCATTTGTTTTAAATTTAACGGGGAATTCAAAGATAATTTTTATTTGGAACACCCTGTATATCACGATTGGCTGGAAACCTAATGCCATACAAAAATATCATATAGACTAGACACGATAACCGACAACGGCCTGATATTCTAAACATTCTTTATCATCGCTGATATCAAACATTTTTGCGGTTGCTTTTATCGGTTCGCTGTTTTGCATGTCTTGATTGAGGTTTGCTTTGTTTCGCTTTCTTGATTTTTTTATATTTATATAGCGACAGACCAATTTTAACAACAAAGATCGGGATACAGTATCCACTTTCCAATTATTTTACTGAGAAAGTCCTTTAAATAAACGTTGGATACCTCAAGAGCTGTTCATGCAGATAGTATGCATTTGCTGTTACTATCTTACAAATGAAAAATAATTGTTCTCTGATGACCAAATAATCAAGAGGTCTTCTATAATTAATTGAAAATCATTGTAGAAAGTTGGCCGAATATGTCTATGTATGTACTTTTTCGCGGTGGTTTCATGGTTTGGCTGTAAGAGAAATGATTCTCTGTGTTTGCGTTCGTGTTGCCTAACTCTGGCAGAAGACCTCGATTATTTCAATAGCAGTAACAGTTGTATTGAAATGCATCGCCATCGTGACCGATATTATCAACAACAATAGCTCGTATTTTTCCGTAGGATAAATTTAACATGTGATGTACCAACTTACTCTAAAATCTGCTCTTGATCAAGCGATATCTTATCGCGCTGATTGACTGTATGCACGTTCCTGTACATCCTTCAGATCAATCGTTTACACCGCGGGATTGAAAACTCATCACAATTCACAAAATCGCGGAATCTCGGATTCATAACACTAGCCACAAATCTAGACTACTCACTTCAAATCGCGCCTTATCTAATCTCTAAGCAAAGATATGTTTTGGCCAATGTGTGATTAGTCCGATTATGTAATAATTAAAAAGTGTTGTGATTTCGTCTCACATCATTAGCTTGGAGAGTATGTCGTTTTAAAATAATCGTTCATTGTAGTGTAAAATAGTGTTTTATCGAAATCCTTCACAACCTTTGAATTGTGTTTGTAAACAAATGTTATCTTGAGAGCGGTGTATTCAGGGCGTTGAATGTTGACAATATTTTTTACATGCTCTCGATTGTCGACTGTCGAATCCGATTTACAATACCTTGTGCAGTTGAAACCCCAACTAGCAAAGTAGTGCTATAAGCTTTTGGTAAAAGAACTGTTCAGCCGTAAAAGCTCTCTATTGTTGTTGCCTAAACACCAAAATGATGGCTTATAGGACAAATTTTGAACGGTTACATAAACGTTTATACAACTATTTTATATGGGATATTTGCTCGGTAGTCAAAATAGTTGTGTTGTGGCATCCATGGTAACGTTTATACAACAAACCCCAGCCTTGTTGTTTTGGTGTGCACATTTACTACTTTAGGCAACAAATTGCTCCCAACGGAAGCACTTAAACAACTGTCGTTAAGTAACTGTTAAAGGTTATACATCTGCAACAATATTACAACTTTTATAATGGGTGATTTTTTTGCTAGTATCTTTTTGGCAACACTGTTTTTGACAGATGACGCGTGAATTGTGTCTTGTGTCATTGTCAAACTTGTTCAGTTTGGACTATAATTTAACCATGAATCGACTTACGAACGAACAACGCTTGCAAATTATTGAATTTTACTATCAAAATTCATGCTCGGTTAAGAGAATGCATCGAGCACTGCTTCCAATTTATGGGCAATTTGGTCGGCCTACTGATGGAGCTATTCGGAAGCTTGTGACTAAATTTCGAACCCAGTTTACATTATTGGACATTAAACCACCAATACGCAGACGTAGAGTTAGGACTGAAGAAAATATTGCGGCTGTATCCGCCAGTGTTAGTGATGACCGTAAAATGTCGATTCGCCGCCGTTCGCAGCAACTGGGCCTCTGTTACTCCACTACGTGGAAAATTTTACGACAGGATTTGGGTGTAAAACCTTATAAGATACAGCTGGTGCAAGAATTGAAGCCACACGACCTCCCACAACCTTTCCAATTTGGTGAATGGGCGCTGGCAAAGTTGGAGGAAGATCCACATTTTTATCGAAAAATTGTGTTCAGCGACGAAGCTCCTTTCTGGTTGAATGGGTACGTTAACAAGCAAAATTGCCGTATCTGGTGTGAAGACCAGCCAGAAGCATTGCATGAGCTACCAATGCATCCCGAAAAAATCACTGTTTGGTGTGGATTGCGGGCCGGTGGCATCATCGGGCCGTACTTCTTCAAAGACGACAATGGCCGGAACGTAACTGTGAATGGCGAGCGCTACCGTGCGATGATAACAAACTTTTTTTTGCCCAAAATGGAACAGCTGGACTTGGCTGACATGTGGTTTCAACAAGACGGTGCCACATGCCACGCCGCACACGAAACAATGGCCCTATTGAGAGGCGAGTTCGGTGAACAGTTTATCTCACGTTTGGGGCCCGTCAATTGACCGCCTAGATCGTGTGATTTAACGCCGTTGGACTACTTCTTGTGGGGCCATGTTAAAACTAATGTCTACAGGGATAAACCAGCAACGATTGACGCACTGGAAGCCAATATTGAAGCATTTATTCGTGAGATACCGGCCGATATGTTGGAGAGAGTGTGCCAAAATTGGACCTTGCGCATGGGCCATCTAAAGCGGAGACGCGGCCAACATTTACATGAAATAAGCTTTAAACATTAAATTATATCGACCGTTTTATCGACTCACATAAAGATTTAATCGTTTTTTCAAATTTTTGTGTTTTTTTTGAACATCAAATCCTATACCTCTTAAAAGATCACCCATTATCATTCACTGACAAGGAGCATTATTGTGATGCCTGATATCAAACCGTTGCTCCAAATTGATGTCACTCATTTTTAGAACAGAATAGGAAAAACTGTTTTACAAAAAACCGCTACCGACAACCAAATGACTCCAGCAAGTTCATACTTGTACTGAAGACGGATACCATGTTCCCTGTCTCCCCTCTAAGCCGGCGCCTGCAGTGTTGCCAGATCGAACGCTACGTTGCCGCTATCATTACTTAATTTACAGACTTCGTATATGCATAAATTGATACACTTCTAGCATGTTAGCAAGTATTTATAAGTAGTGTATTACTGATCAGATATTCGCGTTGCTCTTGCGGTAGAAATCTTAGCATAATGTAAATCAAATCTGACGCTCAAAGGTACCTTACCATATGTTTTGGAATTCCGGGTCATCTTCGGTAGCTTCGCTATTTATAGTTTCTTTACTCTTATCGTAGTCCTCAACCTTAAAAAAAAAGAAAAACTATAGCCTAGTCGTTAAAAGGTACTGGGTTCAAATTCCCAACTTGGCCTTTGGACGTATGCCCATTACAAGTAGTAGTGTTATTTGTATTTGAAGATCAGTGGCTTAGTAGGAACTGATAGGTAGGTAACAGTGTCACCTACTTGATTTAAAATCTCTTATGGCAACGACATATACTTCGTTTCTATGGGCCCCATAGCTTAAGCGTGAAAAGTAAAATATGCCTGATTGGGTACCTGTTTCTTAAGCAACGCAGAGCGTGTTAGTTTTTTTGTTTTCAAAATATCCACGAAGATCACCTTGCTAAATCTGAATTGTGGAGATGCGTGCCCCTGCTTCCCAGACGCGTAGGCTCATAAAAAGAAGTTTTTAAGAAATTCAAAAAATCCCACTGCTGTAATTGGAATGATTAAAGAATCGATTGTGATATCAAGACTAACCTATGGACGCCTAAAATGTTAAGATCCATCAAGCTGTTTGAAAGATGAGTTTGCGTTTAAAATCCGCCATTTCTATTTTATAAAATTTATAGTATACTCGGTGTTAATCGCACTGACCAGACAAATCTAGAGACATCTTAGAGGTCAAAATCCATCAAGATTCTTATATGTAGCCCGTAGAATGACAGCTTCAAAGTTGAAATTTTCTATAAAAATCCTCAATCCCCCTCGGAGAACGGAAATCTTCCTGGGACCACCCATCTGCCCTCCTTGAATTTTGCGTCCATGTTCTTTCCCCTCAATCGAAAAATGAATGACCCTATGTCGAAATTATCCCTGAACATCATCTGCGGAAGAGTCGCGCAACGAACATACATTATGCTGTCAATTTCCCTAAATCACTGCAATCACATTTTGCAAGCGTGGCTTGTGGGTTGCAAGCTCGTAGGAAGGGATTGGCCATATACTTAATTTACTGATATATCGCTATTGTATAGGATATGACAACTATAGCTCCAAACACTGTTTAGCGTGAGGTGTCACACCAAGGAAAGTGCTCTTGGTTCAAGAGTAACTACCTTGAATTAAGGATCTCGACTATGTTTTTAAGGCATATTTCTTTGGACTAAGGTCCATTTCTTTATATACATTTCTTTGATACAATGAAATTCCCCATTTCAAGTATCTGTGGTCTAGATTCAGTTTCATAATTTCACAGAAACGCGGGCTCTTGAACTAAGGGCCGTATAGTCAATCGTTTTTACAATTGTAGGATGCCTCTATGGCCTCCTTATAGTTTCTACTCTGTTTCTGAAAGGCAGGGGTATTTCTAAATTTCTACTGTTCCATGCCAGCGCTCTATTTCCAGCTTATGTTATAAATATCTATTTGCTTCAAATTGATCATGATTTTGATTATTATCACTTGTTCTATCAGCAGTAAATTTCCTACAATTCCAAAAGAAAACATAATCTCACAATAGGAGACACGAAACAGTAAACATCTAGAAATACCCTTTTTAAAGGAGAGAAAATGCTTTAAAAATCAAGGAGGCCATAAAGGCGTCCTACAATATTGTAGGAACGACTGACGATACGGCACTAAGATCACTTCTTTTGTGTGTATGAGCCTTGAGAGCAAGTGGTATATGAATGCGATCGAATTTGGTTGTTGCGAAGCTATGAAGTGGGCACCCTGCATAGCTTGTGCAAGCTCACGGGTCACAACAATGGTAAAAGCTTACTCGTATCCAAAAAATTTTTTTCCACGGTTTTTTTTGCGGTTAGGTCACAATTTCATACGGAATAAGTAAGCAGATTAATTAGGTGTATTATGTGCCTAGTTTAACTTCCCCAAGGGAAATTGTGCACTGCACTATCCGATCCTTAATCCAGCTGCTACTCGCCCTTGCACACACACACATGAATGGGCTACACCATAGTTTTCATTCACTCTCCGAAAATAACTTTAGCACAGACTGTCGACGTTGTGGTCATATTTTCAGGCATTGCTATGTTTTATATCGAAGCTCAACAAAAGTCACTTGCCAAAAACCGTGAAATGAGCTGTACAAAGTTTTCTGTCGCTAGGAATGATATTAGGACCCATACTCTTGGAAAGAGTAGAATCACTCGGAGAAGGTGGGTATAGTTTTTCTTTCTGAGGAATGATTCCAAATTCTAACAGCTCTTATTATTAAACGTTTCATCACAAAGTTAAATTCGTCTTTACAGATGAGAGTGATGGACGACGGCGAGACTTCCTCACTTTTTCTCCAGAGAATGACTTGAGGAGCGAGTATTATATCAGTGTTGAGGAAAGAACCACGCCCATTTTCTCTCAGTTATTCTACTTCCTCATTTCGAGAAACAACGATCTGATGTAAATGGGCGCTTTTATATTTCCAAAACTACTAGACCTTTACCTGTATCTGTGGAAATACTTTTATTTCATCGAGGTTGGGCAAAGAAATGCTGTTTCTCCTTCCCAAGCTATCAGATCGCATTTGTTTCCCGGGAGATTCTTCTCTTTCAGCCATTGCTCGTATTTCATCCATTTCTTCTTCCATAAACTTTGATTCCTCGTCTTCGTCCACAGATATATCTTCGAATGACGGACAACCTTCGATCACGTCATTTTCTGGCGATTTGATTTTGCCATACTTATATTTTCTGTTGGACATTTCTGAAAATATACGTCACTGGTTAAATATTTGACTTTTGATTCGCCCAATAGTAAATCAAGGGTACTGTTTTTGTTTTAAAACACTTTTAGGGAATTGCAATAATTTTTAAGTTTTGTTCGCAACATGCTACTTTTTACGCTACTGGCGAGTAATCACGAAAAATTTCGAGAATGAGATGTTTTTTTAGTGATACATGGAATCTACATCACGAAAAACTGTCTCATTTCCGTAGATCTGTTTGTACGCTAATTAATTGGCACGTCTATGACTTGGAAAGCATCGGATTTTGACGAAATCTTTACCCAAGATTACTACCATGACAAGGACGAAAAAGCTTTAAAGTTTTTGAAAATCGATCCAGAGGCGGCAGAGTTGGAGACGAGAAAACGGAGAAAAATAATTAAAAACGCTCAAACTTCATTTTTTGACGTTTCAGAATCCTCTGACGCTTTTTTGACGCTTCGGCGTGATAATAACGTCTTTGCTGTTGTCGCATCGGTCTCCAGGACAGCAAAATGGTCCTGAGGTCGATCGAGGCTGACGAGAAGAATTGCTTATGATCGGGGAGTATGTGGGTATTAGAAGTGGATATAAGTTGGTACATACATATTTCCGTAGGTAAGAAAATGAACCACAGGGGCGTAATAACAGAACGAAATGCCGTCAAGCAGATTTCCCGTGCCTGCGTATACAGGGTGCCCAGTGGGAAAGTTCACATTTCAAATTTGAATGACGCGGCAACCGTATACACGAGGAACTGGGGAGAAGTCTTGATCGACGCGTTCGGCGTGCGGGTTAAATAGTCACAATGGAACGTTGGACCGGAGCGCAACGTGCTTCTGCTATCGAGGATTACTTCAAGAGTGGTGATTCATACGCAGCTACCCTTCGGAAATTTTGTACACGAGACAAAATTCGCCGACCAAGAGGTGCACCAAGTGAGAACCTGTTGAAAAAGTGGATTAAGAGGTTCCGTTCAACATGCTCTACTGTTAGTCAACCCATTCCTGGCCCCAGATCTACTGTATCAACCGAAGAAAATGTGCATCTATTAAATGATGCGGTTATTGCAAATACTGCGCGTTCTGTACGGAAGCATTCCGCTGCTTTGGGAATCCCTAGGTCGACACTACATGGTATAATGAACAGCTACGTAGTGACTGTTTGGTGCGCCATATCCTCTAGCGGTACTATTGGGCCGTATTTCTTCGAAGATGAAAACGGTCATGCATTGACAGTCAATTCCGAGCAATACAAGGACATGATTGACACTTTTCTTGCTCCTATTGTAAGAATAGAACGTCGATTTAACAGAAACACATGGTTTCAACAGGATGGGGTCACTGTCCATACTTTCAAAGAATCGATGGACACAGTGAAAGCACAAAAGATATATTTAAGTTTGGAGACATTCACTGGCCTCCTCTGTCACCCGACCTCAAGCCATGCGATTATTTTTAGTCGGGCTATGTAAAGTCAATGGTATAACCCAATAATTCTCGAACACTGAAGGAGCTTAAAGCCACCATTCGACGAGAAGTAAACAACATCACCCTGGAACTCTGAAAAAGAGTGTTTCAAAATTTGTGCGCGGAGAGTGTGTCTGAAGGGATGCCAAACATTTGGACGGAATGATATTTAATAAATAAAATCCGAATTTACGAATAGGTTGAAAGTAATGAATATTTTCTTTTCGTTAAGTTTGTATTTTTTTTCTTAAATCAAAAAGTGACACCCTCTACAACTATTTTCTAACTGCTTTTACCTACGTATACCCGTACGTCCTGAATTTCGGAAAAAGTTTTCCCGAATATGCACCATAATATAGTTTTTGATGAAACCTAATATACTAAATGACATATAAATCCGAACACCCATTTTAGATGGTTTTATTTTAATAAAAGTTGGTGAATGTATTTATCTTACTGTAAATAACAAGTGAAAAAATTTTCAGCCTTATCAGTTGGACATTCCGGTTTTTATACTGCTTTTTTTTAACTCACTAACGCTCTAAAAATGAATATTTCAGCCGCAGTAAAGAATTAACGTTGGCGGATTTTGGTTCTTGACATCCTTTACGATCGGTTACGATGCCTAGAGTACGGAGACCTGTACGATTTCGTCAACTTAGTGAGTTTGATAGGGGCCGTATAGTGGGACTTCGGGAAGCTGGACTTTCTTTTCGGGCAATTGCAGTTAGAGTGCAAAGAAGTGTAGACACTGTGGTTAGGTGTTATCAGGCATGGCTTCGAGAAGGCCATACGCAAAGAGCAAGGGGCACTGGACGCCGCCGTAGAACAACAGACCGTGAAGATCGCCGCCTAAGATTATTGGCCTTACCAGGTCCATTGCAAATGAATGGTTTGCAGAACATGGAAGACCTATTGGCATGCGAAGTGTTTACCGAAGAATGAGAAGTTTTGACTTGTTTTCATACCGACCACACTGGGTCCTCCCTTTAACTCTAGAACACCGACGTAATCGCCTTGAGTGGTGCAGACAATGGTTACTCTGGGATCAGGAATGGAACAGTATTGTCTTTAGTGACGAGTCTCGATTTTGTTTAGGCATGCACGATGGTCGTGCCAGGGTTAGAAGGCGACGTGGTGAAAGGAGGAATCCACAGTTTTTTGTTGAAAGACATGTTCATCACACTGTTGGAGTTATGGTTTGGGATGCTATAGCTTATGGTTCCAGGTCATCTTTAATCTTCATCAGAGGTAACATGAACGCACAGCGTTATATCCACGAAGTTCTAGAACCCCATCTTTTACCCTATCTTGACACCCTGGCAGATCCAACTTTCCAACAAGATAATGCCCGACCACATGTTGCAAGAGTCACAATAGACTTCTTTCAACAAAATGATGTCACATTGTTACCATGGCCACCAAGATCTCCCGACTTATCCCCAATTGAGCACGTTTGGGATATGATGGGTAGGAGATTGCTCAATTTGCAACGTCCTCCTCAGACTCTAGAAGCACTTCGAGAGGAGTTGGTGGTTGCCTGGAATGAGATACCACAGGAGGACATTGACCACCTGATCAGAAGCATGCCTAGGCGCGTTGGAGAATGCGTAACACATCAGGGTGCATCCACACATTATTAAAGGTCAAAGGACTTTAAAGCAGTGCAATCATTTTGAAATTTTTATCATTTACTTATTATGCTTCATTAAGTACTTATACAAAATTTTATTAAAATAAAACCATTTAAACTGGGTGTTCGGATTTATATGTCACTTAGTATACATATTATGTTACGATTGAAATATTTAAGTGCTTATAATCTTGTAAATAGGGGAAAACAGTTTAGTAATTTTTCAAGAAATTATTGTCAAAAGTAGCAGAAACTCAGAAACGTGGGAAACATACGAGAACGTAGTTTGTAAACGGCTTGATGCCGTGCTCATTACTGTTCCACCTATGACATATTATTAGTTTATTTGGCTCAATAACATAATGCTTCCCAAATTTCATTGGAATCGGTGCAGGGGTTACTGAAATTGCGTTATTCCAAGAATACCGACAGACAGAAATTGACAAGCTACTTAAAAATGTCCTATAGAGAGACACATACACCTCCGATTTTTTTTTTCGTAAGTATACTTAAGTATATTATTTTGCGAATAATTTAAGTCTTAATGCGTTAATCCTAGTACTATTTAGTTATAGTCCAAGATATATGCACATGACGAATATGAGTGTAGCAGCATCACATACAAGATGATATGAGATTATAATCTTCTATAGTAACTATCACATTAATTAGCAGAATGAATGTGAACGAATACATTTTAGGAAAAACGCATAGCTTAGAATTAGCAACCATTTGCCGGAAATAAGCACCACGTTTTTCTAGAGTTTTGTCGTTTAAATGTATGTTTATAGCGTGTTATTATGATGATTTTAATTCCTCAGATGATACTTGCATCATCTTTTTCCCATTGACATGCGTGTTTGTCAAAATGATAGAAAACGGTGTTTTATTGTTCAAGCTAAAATTAGTCTCTTGATTTCTCAACCAAAATTAGTTTCTTAATATACTAGGTGACATATAAATCCGAACACCCAGTTTAAATGGCTTTATTTTAATAAAATTTTGTATAAGTACTTAATGAAGCATAATAAGTAAATGATAAAAATTTCAAAATGATTGCACTGCTTTAAAGCCCTTTGACCTTTAATAATGTGTGGATGCACCCTGATGTGCTACGCATTCTCCAACGCCCCTAGGCATGGTCAATGTCCTCCTGTGGTATCTCATTCCAGGCACCCACCAACTCCTCTCGAAGTGCTCAATTGGGGATAAGTCGGGAGATCTTGGTGGCCATGGTAACAATGTGACATCATTATGTTGAAAGAAGTCTATTGTGACTCTTGCAACATGTGGTCGGGCATTATCTTGTTGGAAAGTTGGATCTGCCAGGGTGTCAAGATAGGGTAAAAGATGGGGTTCTAGAACTTCGTGGATATAACGTTGCGCGTTCATGTTACCTCTGATGAAGATTAAAGGTGACCTGAAACCATCAGCTATAGCACCCCAAACCATAACTCCAACAGTGTGATGAACATGTCTTTCAACAAAAAACTGTGGATTCCTCCTTTCACCACGTCGCCTTCTAACCCTGGCACGACCATCGTGCATGCCTAAACAAAATCGAGACTCGTCACTAAAGACAATACTGTTCCATTCCCGATCCCAGAGTGACCGTTGTCTGCACCACTCAAGGCGATTACGTCGGTGTTCTTGAGTTAAAGGGAGGACCCAGTGTGGCCGGTATGAAAGCAAGCCAAAACTTCTCATTCGTCGGTAAACACTTCGCATGCCAATAGGTCTTCCGTGTTCTGCAAACCATTCATTTGCAATGGACCTGGTAGTGGAGAAACGGTCCCTTAAGGCCAATAATCTTAGGCGGCGATCTTCACGGTCTGTTGTTCTACGGCGGCGTCCAGTGCCCCTTGCTCTTTGCGTACGGCCTTCTCGAAGCCATGCCTGACAACACCTAACCACAGTGTCTACACTTCTTTGCACTCCAACTGCAATTGCCCGAAAAGAAAGTCCAGCTTCCCGAAGTCCCACTATACGGCCCCTATCAAACTCACTAAGTTGACGAAATCGTACAGGTCTCCGTACTCTAGGCATCGTAACCGATCGTAAAGGATGTCAAGCACCAAAATCCGCCAACGTTGATTCTTTACTGCGGCTGAAATATTCATTTTTAGAGCGCTAGTGAATTAAAAAAAAGCAGTATAAAAACCGGAATGTCCAACTGATAAGGCTGAAAATTTTTTCACTTGTTATTTACAGTAAGATAAATACATTCACCAACTTTTATTAAAATAAAACCATTTAAACTTTGTGTTCGGATTTATATGTCAGTATAATAATAATAGCAAATACGAGATTTGAAAGAACTACTAGATGATTTTTAATACGATGGCAACATTGGTCAAATCATTTTTTTTCCACTAGGTATCGTTCCCAGTACTTCGCATTGACTATAATTATGAGACACTTTGGCGACATAACCGACCAATTGAAAAATATCGCTAAATAGAAATCTCTTGATGAGGTGAAATAATAAGAATTCCATAACCAAGGACTGAATTCTGCTGTAATATCACACATGTACAAAATATTTAGTTTTTGGGTGAATAAGTATAAAATAGACTTACTCAATTTGACACTTTGTATATAGTCTCTTTATTCTATTCTCTCTAAGCGCACGTTTTGCTGCAACACTGAAGTAGTAACTTTTAGGTATGCTTTGTTTTGCATATCGTGAAATGAGTTATGCTTTAATAAATTATTTTTATAGTCCCGAGTCCTGTATTCATAATTTGTCGCTGGATGCAAATTCTGTAGTTTATAATACACAGTTTTGTGCATTTTCTGGGATGACCAGACGCGTACATAGCTGGTTTAAAATTCATGATACAATCTTCAAAACTTTTAAAGCCAATGCTCAATATCGAGAAAATGATTAAAGGTCTTTTAGTTTTGGCATAAACTATTTGTATAAATATCTTTGGATTTAATAGAAAAACACTATAACAGATGAAATTTGCTATCTAAAGAAAATGCAAGCCTATGTTTAAACATAATTTGCATTGCAACAAAAGCTAGACTTTCAGTGGTACTTGAGACCTCGGACTATATCAATATCTAAATAACATACAATAAAATAATCTCGGGCGGTATCGCAAAGTTAACATTATATCAACATTTAGTGAGGAATTTTATATTACATGATTTTCTTTGATGCGAACTGAAAAATAAACTTACCTAAATCTACGTCGATACTGTATCGGTGTCCTCATCTTCTAATGCTGCTTGTATAAATATTGTTAAAGTTTCTGTATCATCCTTTGGTTAAATGCTGTTTGTATTTCTGATTATTGTATCTTCTGTCACACAATCGTTAACATCTGTGCTCCTTCTTACTCCTTTGTGGAATTTGCAGAAAAAAATGCGATGTTGCTGTATTTGTTAAATATCTAATTCCTGTGACCCTCAGGTTGGATCGTGTCGATACAGTAATTAAATCCTAGAAAATAAGTCGTACGTATGTAAAATATGTGCATAAATTAATGGCTGGCATTTAATGTATTCTAGGCGCGAAAATGTTAAATCATAATTTCAAAATAAACTGGTACGCATCTCTGTGAAATCAGGGTCTAAAAAGTTAGAACGTGCTTAAAAAAAGTCAATTTGTGGTACATGACTTGATTCATCTATTTATCTCTAAACAAAGAAATACTAAATGCAAATGTTTCTTGGTTTAAATCAAATATTAAAAGACTCCTCAGCTCAACAGCGTCACATAGTGTTACCGCTAGAAAAACCAATTGCTTCCTCCACAAACGATACTGGTTAATTTGACAATGTGAGTGTGCCATAGTTGGAAGAGTAAGATCACATACTGGATTCGGTGTTGGTTTTTAAAGGGCATTTCTTCAACACAAGCAAGTTTTGTTTTTTAGCCTTCGAAAAATACATACATTTTCCTGAAACAGGTTGTATTTTTGGATTGCTAATTGTGGGTATAAGACGTATATGTCCCAAGTGAAAGGAAAGTTGATACTCTAAAGGACTATATAAAAATGTCTACGCTATTCATTAAAAAAATGTTCCAAATTGAATGTTAAGCTTTGATGCTGATTTCAACCACTGCGACTGAAATATGGAATAGTAGTATCACTTCAGTTGGCCCAACTATTAAAATCTTAGTTTTTTTCTTATAAAACACAAATAATAAAAATGTAGCAGGTTGTTATAGGTTTAAAATATTAACAATGAATATTTTGATAATATATAGGAGAAAACACCAACTTTATCACTCCCTAATCAAATTTGCAGCATAAAAACAACACATGTTGCAATAACAGCATATCAACCTATTTTCATTTCAATACAAAATAAGTCTATAACGCATAGGTGGCTGTGAAAAATAAAAGCCATTACAATTGTTTTTATTCACAGCTGTCAGAATACGTTTAAAATAGTTTTGGGTAGTTAAGGTTTTCAAAATGGCTAGAGGAAAGGTTATTAGTGAGAAAATTCGGTTTCTGATAATTAAATTTTTTAATTCTGGGAAATCAAATTCAGAAATTGCAACTTTGTTAGACTTATCGCGCTACAGTGTGAGAAATATTGTTAGAAGGTATAACGTAACTGGTTCAGTTAATATTAAGCCACGATATGTGAAAAAAGTAATATCACAAATGCCGACCGAAGAGCATTAAGAAGAATAATCGTGAAAAACAGGCGTGCCAATTATTTACAATTAAGTGCTCTGTGGAGTGACGCTGTTGGAAGGAGAATTTCGATGTCAACTAACTGGGATTTAGCACTTGCAAGGTAAGTTTTCTTATAAAAAAAGTGAAGTAAAAACCCTAAAGTTGCACAACTTGTTTATAGGCTAAAGAAAAGCCACTATTAACTCCACTGCAAAAGAAAAATCGTTTTAGATGGCTAAAGAACATAAACAATGGACACCTCAACAATGGTGTGCAATACAATGGTGTGATGAGGCCCTATTCGAAGTTTGTGTTGGTGACAGTCGCAGTAGAGTTATTCGCAAAAAAAAGAAGCATTCCATGTTGACTGTCTGAAGAGAAAAGTGAAATTTCCAGCATCCATTATGGTCTGGGGCAGTGTGTTATCAAAAGGAGTAGGAACACTTCATTTTATTGATGGAAATGTGGATACAAACAAATATTTGGCAATTTTAGAAGAATCGCTTTTACCAGCGATGGAAGAAAATTTTGTTTTTCAGCAAGATGGTGCAGCGTGACATACATCAAAAAACGCTATAAAATGGGTGGAAGAAAATAATGTGCCATTTTGAAATGGGTTTCTAGCAGTCCAGATCTGTCACCTATTGTAACTTTGTGGCACGAAATGAAAAAGGTTCTACGACAACATCCTGCTCGTACAATCACCGAACTGAGACAAAAGCTTCAAGAAATATGGGATTGTTTTACACCAAATTTTTGCCAAAACTTGGTTAACACTGGTTAACAAGAATTTCAGCGGTAATAAAAAATAAAGGTGATGTTACCCAATGGTAATCTTTCAATTGTTGCTTTGTTAACTTCGCGCATTTATTCGCACATTGTTTATTTGTTTAGATGTTCTATTAGTTATAGGTCTAAGTGTGTATTTTTTACGACTAGAGTGTATCTAAAATGTTTTTGAGAAAATAAATTGTTTTAGAAGTAAATAGTCATGTTTTGTTTAAAAAGACATATTCTGGTACAAATCTTGAGTGGGCCAACTGAAGTGGGAAGGGGCTCGTATATGCCTCAGAAATATCAAAATAAACCACTAAAGCAGAATGATATAAAATTTGAAATACAAAAAAAAAAACACCACTAGTAGCTCCGTACCTTTCTGCTGCACAACAGTCGCACCTACTGTGCCTAATTTCTACTGTTATGACGCCAATAACACAACACGAAGCAATCTAACTATTATAAAGAGTTTAATGAGCACTCATAATCACTCCTTACACATATTAGTACATGCAATCAAATGGAACGATGTACAATATACGCCCATTTACAACATCTCAATATTTGCGGAGCAGTGACGTCACAGTACTTGCTAATTTTTCTTCATTGTTCTAATCCTTGGGCAAACATTTTCACCTTCAGTCCAGCATACGTTTATAGTTTTCTTGTGCAAACAACCATATAAGCCATTATAAAATAGTGATATTTACATTTTGGGTATGCGTGAATGTTTGGATACAGTAGTTGACATACGAATTGGTATTTACATTTCAAGGAAGTATAACGCTCTGCTGAACGTTGCTTAGATGGAAACTGTATGACATTTTTGGTTGTGGTCCAGATGGAAGAACATGGAAACAATCTTCTTTCTTCCCTCTTTCTCCCTGACGTTGTCTGGTATTTGGGCTACCTGACAGAAGACAATCTGACTTTTACATGTTTCTCCCAATGGCTGGATTATCTTATCAAAGAATGACTAAGAATGTGCAATTCAAAAGGTGAAAAGAGTGATTTGCAATCTGTTCATTAATATCATCATGAAAAGCTCACCTTCATCTCTTTCGTCACAATTAATACCATAGTTCTGCATCGGGATGTCAGTAATAGTGTCAATGCTATTATTTTAATTTTTTGAGGTGTACTCTTCAACATTTGCTTGTCTTTGAAACCAGGCAATGTTGAGGAAAAAGAGAGAGGAAAGAAAGGAAAAGGGAGAGAAACAAAGAAGAACAGAAGAGTATCATTTTAAGAGGTAATACCTAGGCCTTTTGACTTTTTTTGGCATGCATCCAGTGACTAGTATAACTAGTATAATGGATCATCGGTTTGATTTTGAATTCATCTGTTTCCAAATTGGAAGTCTTTACTGTTATGATGCTAAGGAACTTGACAGATGACTCTTCTTCACGCCTCAGTGGTCGGTCAGGGGACTTGTTACACTTGCATAGGTAGACCACGGTAACAGAAGGATATAACAAATAGAAAAGAAACAATGGTATGTGAAGTGATCATAGGCTTACTTTCATGAATGGATAAATCCAGCCAAGCTCTTTTCTATGGATTTGTGACTTGGTACATGGATAGTTTTGAAGCGAACTAAAAGAAAATGTTTATTCAGGTTTTGCTAGAGTGTAATTTTGGGCTTAATAAAAGTTCGCGCTAAGTTTTGATCACAGTGCGGGCTGTGTCCTTGACTGTTTATGAACTTGCTCCACTGTGTAGTCCACTGAGTCACGCAATAGAGTGTTGCTGTGTGATTCCGCTTGACAACTTTTTAAAGCCTTTGTGGGTATGCTCTTTCAGCATTGTTGTCATGTCTCTGATGAGCAGAATACAGAAGTATCCAAAATTCGAGAGCATTATCTTCCTACTATCAATGCAGATCCTAATATTTTACCTCTGTGGGCAATAGTCTTTGCAGTTGCATTGGAGAGATGTGCAGCGGAGCTTGCTGCGGTTCTTTCGCGTGTCTTACCAGAAAACTGCAAATTTGCTCATGTCCAACCCATTCCAAAAAAAGGATCTAAGACCAACCCTTACAACTAGAGGCAGTGAACAAGTCGATCTCTGCTGACGAGCTGGAGCGACTTTCTCTCTGACAAGAGACCTGGAGGTAATCACTGCTTGGGGATGCGCCAATCTTGTTCTTAATGCTAGATTGTGGAGGAAGTTTTTCGCTAGTCGCGGTGCCCTGGCATTTGGGCTTCTGCCTGCGCGGCTGCTTCGTTGTAAGAGAAGTTAAGACTAAGTTGTCACTACCAACACATTTGACTTGACAACGGATTTAGATATTTTACTCTATAATATTGTTTCAAATATATACGAAGTGACATATAAATCCGGTTTTATTTTAATAAAAGTTGGTGAATGTATTTATCTTACTGTAAATAACAAGTGGAAAAATTTTCACCCTTATCAGTTGGACATTCTGGTTTTTATACTGCTTTTTTTAAATTCACTAACGCTCTAAAAATTAATATTTCAGCCGCAGTAAAGAATCAGCGTTGGCGGATTTTGGTTCTTGACATCCTTTACGATCGGTTACGATGCCTAGAATACGGAGACCTGTACGATTTCGTCAACTTAGTGAGTTTGATAGGGGCCGTATAGTGGGACTTCGGGAAGCTGGACTTTCTTTTCGGGCAATTGCAGTTAGAGTGCAAAGAAGTGTAGACACTGTGGTTAGGTGTTGTCAGGCATGGCTTCGAGAAGGCCATTTCGCAAAGAGCAAGGGGCACTGGACGCCGCCGTAGAACAACAGACCGTGAAGATCGCCGCCTAAGATTATTGGCCTTAAAGGACCGTTTCTCCACTACCAGGTCCATTGCAAATGAATGGTTTGCAGAACACGGAAGACCTATTGGCATGCGAAGTGTTTACCGATGAATGAGAAGTTTTGGCTTGTTTTCATACCGGCCACACTGGGTCCTCCCTTTAACTCGAGAACACCGACGTAATCGCCTTGAGTGGTGCAGACAACGGTCACTCTGGGATCAGGAATGGAACAGTATTGTCTTTAGTGACGAGTCTCGATTTTGTTTAGGCTTGCACGATGGTCGTGCCAGGGTTAGAAGGCGACGTGGTGAAAGGAAGAATCCACAGTTTTTTGTTGAAAGATATGTTCATCACACTGTTGGAGTTATGGTTTGGGGTGCTATAGCTTATGGTTCCAGGTCACCTTTAATCTTCATCAGAGGTAACATGAACGCGCAGCGTTATATCCACGAAGTTCTAGAACCCCATCTTTTACCCTATCTTGACACCCTGACAGATCCAACTTTCCAACAAGATACTGCCCGACCACATGTTGCAAGAGTCACAATAGACTTCTTTCAACATAATGATGTCACATTGTTACCATGGCCACCAAGATCTCCCGACTTATCCCCAATTGAGCACGTGTGGGATAAGATGGGTAGGAGATTGCTCAATTTACAACGTCCTCCTCAGACTCTAGAAACATTTCGAGAGGAGTTGGTGGTTGCCTGGAATGAGATACCACAGTAGGACATTGACCACCTGATCAGAAGCATGCCTAGGCGCGTTGGAGAATGCGTAGCACATCAGGGTGCATCCGCACATTATTAAAGGTCAACGGGCTTTAAAGCAGTGCAATCATTTTGAAATTTTTATCATTTACTTATTATGCTTCATTAAGTACTTATACAAAATTTTATTAAAATAAAACCATTTAAACTGGGTGTTCGGATTTATATGTCACTTAGTATAGGTTATTCATTTCAATCTACCGATTTATACCATTTTTTTTAAACGAGTCTCAAATTTAGCAGTTTTGAGACCGAACATGTCAGCTAATAATAATAATTATCGGTAACTAATGAGACTTTTATACAGAGTGTTTCAGTTTATTGTTGCATAACTTTAAGATTCGATAGAACTTTTAAAATTAATGCATAAAGTCTATATAAACATGGGTCGAAAAATGCGTGGCTTCCGAAATACAGGGTGTTTAAATTTACTAGTTTTTTTTAAATATTTCGTACAATATTTGATGTATAACAGTAAAAATTGGTATACAAGGGTTTTTTGGTACGACGAAACGAACCATGGGCATAGTTTTACTGTAACCGCTAGAGGGCGCTCTCTACTGTACCTGTAGTGTATTAAAATGAGTGCAATTTTTATTTACATATACATATATGTTTTGATCCCTTTGGAGATTTCCAAAACCATTTTCAATTATTTGGCGATGCACTCTTACAAATACTGAGCGAGTTGGATGTCGTCTGTTTGGAAATCTTCGTGCGTATTCTCTGGCTGCTTCTGCTGCGTTTCCATTTACAAAGCCATACACAAAATGAATATTTGCTAACTCTTGATTGGAGAATAAAAATGGCATTTTTATAAAACTTACAAAAAAACAGGTAAAAGAAACTAAATTTCGTGCATTCACAATTGCAAAAAAACGTTTCAGGTTTCAACAGACAACAAAACTACAACTAATTGACGTTTAACCTTATTCTGCTTTCAATTTCAAAAATATTTGCAGGCATAGCCTACTTCTAAAAATTATCGAGATACTGACTTTTTAACGTTATTTTATCATAAATAATCAAAAATGCATCGAACCTTAAAAATCGAAATCTCTCAAAAACGGCTAACTATAACAAAAATTCACAAGAGAGCTTTTTTATGTTGAAAAGTGCGAAGAATCAGTTTTTTTATTCAAAAAGCAAAAAATTGCACTAAGAAAAATTTTTCGGTCATTTTAATACACTACAGGTACAGTAGAGAGCGCCCTCTAGCGGCTACAGTATAACTATGCCTAAAACCCTTGTATACCAATTTTCACTGTTATACATCAAATAGTGTTCGAAATATTTAAAAAAAAAACATTTTAGAAAGCAAATTTAAACACCCTTTAGACTTTATGCATTAATTTTAAAAGTTCTATCGAATCTTAAAGTTATGCAACAATAATCTGAAACACCCTGTATAGATTGAAACAGCAGCCAGATAAATATACATTAAAAATCTTAGAACTACTATTGAGCCATTTTCCTTAACAAAAAATGTTACGTTGTTTTTCCTGTTCATGGTTTTAAAATGTCTACGCCTTCCTAGCGTATAAGAAGGTATAAGATGATTTGTTGATAGTTTTAACGAAATTGAGATATGTATATGCTTAGGTACTTACTGATCCAGAATAATAATGTCGCCAGTTTGAACTTATTAGTTGCTGGCTTATCAGTGAAGTTGTGTCAATTAGAAAGTTGTGGTCGGTTAAAAAAAATATCGCGGCGTCTTTCACATTTTTTGATGCAAACGTGGTGGTAATACTAAGGAAAATCGTCGGCACCTTCTGATTGAAGAGTTGTTTATAGAAGAATGCAATTACACCAAATTACTTACCTTTATGACTGACGATAAACATTAAACATTGACACTAAAAAACGTTCGCTGCTTCATCGTGTGATATAAACCATACACTACTCGAGTGTACAATTTTTTCATGTTTCATGGTAATTCTTCCAATTGTTTTGCTCTATAATTTGTTCCTATTAAGACTAACTACGTCCTACTGTAGAACTAGAAAATATACAGAGAATGCGTGTTTGTTCGATAGCTGCAGGAAGATTAGTTAGATAAGTACTACATATCAAAACTCGTTTATGAAATCATGTCGTGTTGCAATGTTTTGTGCAAATCTAAAGGAACGCTACTTAATTACGCATCTCATTTATCGATAAGAATCGTGTGATAAATATAGATTGTGGTCCACAGTTTACTCAAGAAATCGTTAAGCTGAATGCATGTCTCAGGAAAGTTTCAACAAAGCTGACGGTCTAGTGGACCTGAAAGTGCTCTTTCTGAATTTGCACTTTGCTACCTCATACATGATCCATTTATGAAAACGGCGCTGTTTTCTAGCGCATTTTACACAGAAAATAATGAAAAAAATGGTACGATCAACAGGTTGGACGAATGGAAACGGAAAAGCATCATCTAAAAATCTAAGATTCTTCATTTTATGAGAAACGTGTTGGTGAAGCTTTGAAAATCACTGTTCCTGCCCAGGCTCTTTATTAAATACCCGAACACCTCAAAAAATTTGTTCTACAAACAAATTGTTTCATTTTTTTTGACAGATTATACACGATGGTCAAAAACGTAAAATAAACGACAGAAAATTTCCAAACGGAACACCCCGGGGATCACCCTGTATATTTTCACATTTTTCCTCTTTTCACAAGCTTTTTTCCGATAGAAGCTTGACGGGTGTTTGTACGAATGGTTTTTGAGTTATATTTACCTTTTTATAAATCCGATATCGAGGTTAATAAAAAATATTAGAATATCTTTCAAAAAGAAAATAATAAGCTACATAACCTTATGAAATAAAGTCTGAAAGTCAAGGTGTCCCTGTGTTTTTAGTAACTCAAAAACCAGTGGTACGAACCTCCATAAGCCGTATATCAGAAAAAGCATGTGAAAAGGGGAATCAAACAGGGTTTTCCATTCGAACATTTTGAGAAATCGTTCATTTTGCGTTCTGGACCACTCTGTATAAACTGACCAAAACGTGGAAAAGGTAAGTAGATAGTGAGAAAATATGGGATCATAAAATTTTTCTGACGAAAATTCCGTTGTCAAGCTACCTATACAGGGTGTTTCAGTTTATTGTTGCATAACTTTAAGATTCGATAGAACTTTTAAAATTAATGCATAAAGTCTATATAAACATTGGTCGAAAAATGCGTGGCTTCCGAAATACAGGGTGTTTAAATTTACTTTCTAAAATAGTTTTTTTTTTAAATATTTCGAACAATATTTGATGTATAATAGTGAAAATTGGTATGCAAGGGTTTTTTGGTACGACAAAACGAACCATGGGCATAGTTTTACTGTAGCCGCTAGAGGGCGCTCTCTACTGTACTGTGTAGTGTACTAAAAGGACCGAAAAATTTTTCTTAGTGCAATTTTTTGCTTTTTGAATAACAAAACTGATTCTTCGCATTTTTCTGCATAAAAAATCTCTCTTGTGAGTTTTCGTTATAGTTATCCGTTTTTGAGATAGTTCGATTTTTAAGGTTCGATGCATTTTTAATTATTTATGGGAAAATAATATTTTTTTTTATTATATTAAGATGATCGTTTAGATTGTGTTTTTAAACACAGCAATAATTCCTAACTCCAAATAAACACAAAAAAACAGAATATTAGTTTGTTTAATTTTGCAATATTATTTTGAACAAATGAAATTAATTATTTACAACTAAAATGCTATTGAATAGTTAGGACAAACATACAAAATCTAAAGTAGTTGCTCGAAATGTAAACCCAATTGTTCAATACACAATTCACATCTACGAATGATCGAACGTGGTATAGCATTATTCAAATAAGGCTTTATTTAATCATATGCATTCCTGATTCTGTCTATTAGCATATCTCTTGTGGTTACGGGAGTCTGGTACACTTTTTCTTTTAGAAATCCCCACACAAAGAAATCTAATGGATTTAGGTCAGGGGATCGTGGAGGCCAGGCGACTGGTCCTCCACGGCCGATCCATCTTTCTGGATAATTTTCGTCCAGCCAGTTTCTAACTATTCTCGAATAATGAGTTGGACAACCATCAAGCTGGAACCAGGCCAATCTTCTTAAATCTAACATAACGTCATCCCACATCTTTGCATGTTCAGCCTTTAAAAATTCCAAGAAGTTCGCAGCATTTAACCTTGCAGGCAAAAGGTAGGGTCCAAATAGTCGATTACGGTAGATACCAATCCACACGTCCACACTAAATTCATGCTGAAAATTTCTTTCCCGGACTGCATGCGGATTGTCATGCGACCAAATATGTTGATTATGAAAATTTACCACTCCACGTCTAGTGAAGCATGACTCATCGGTCCATAAAACGTTACTTAAAAACTCCCTATTATTATCAGTTCTATCAAGAATCCACTGACAAAATGTGATTCTTCGTTCTCCGTCCTCTGGCTGTAGTCCTTGCACAGGTTGCAAATGGTAAGGACGTCTATGGTCATTTCTAAGAACACGGTGAACATGGCTTGCTGAAATTCCCAAGGAACCAGAAACTCTCCTAACACTTGTGGTCGGATCTCTATCAAACTCACGCAGAATCATACGGGTAAATCTGCGCTGACGAACATTTATGTTTTGATCCCTTTGGAGATTTCCAAAACCATTTTCAATTATTTGGCGATGCACTCTTACAAATACTGAGCGAGCTGGATGTCGTCTGTTTGGACATCTTCGTGCGTATTCTCTGGCTGCTTCTGCTGCGTTTCCATTAACCAAGCCATACACAAAATGAATATCCGCTAACTCTTGATTGGAGAATAAAAATGGCATTTTTATAAAATTTACAAAAAAAAAAACAGGTAAAAGAAACTAAATTTCGTGCATTCACAATTGCAAAAAAAAGTTTCAGGTTTCAACAGACAACAAAACTAACTGTCAACTAATTGACGTTTAACCTTATTCTGCTTTCAATTTCAAAAATATTTGCAGGCACAGCCTACTTCTAAAAATTATCGAGATACTGACTTTTTAACGTTATTTTATCATAAATAATTAAAAATGCATCGAACCTTAAAAATCGAAATATCTCAAAAACGGCTCACTATAACGATAATTCACAAGACAGCTTTTTATGTTGAAAAATGCGAAGAATCAGGTTTTTTATTCAAAAAGCAAAACATTGCACTAAGAAAAAATGTTCGGTCATTTTAATACACTACAGGTACAGTAGAGAGCGCCCTCTAGCGGCTACAGTAAAACTATGCCCATGGTTTTGTCGTACCAAAAAACCCTTGTATACCAATTTTCACTGTTATACATCAAATATTGTTCGAAATATTTAAAAAAAACTATTTTAGAAAGTAAATTTAAACACCCTGTATTTCGGAAGCCACGCATTTTTCGACCCATGTTTATATAGACTTTATGCATTAATTTTAAAAGTTCTATCGAATCTTGAAGTTATGCAACAATAAACTGGAACACCCTGTATATCAAAAATTTGAAAATTGGCCTCTATAGTATGTTATTTCAAACTGCTTCGTTTGAAACAGCCTATCCGAATCAGCAGGAAAATCCATGATTTTCCATTAAACAAAAAATGTTTGGATCAACCTTTCATTACATGCTTGTCTTCCCGTCATTTGAGGTATTTGATATGAGGCGTGTCCAAAGAGTTAGCACTTGTGACATCTGGAGATGTTACTTTGCATCAACTCCATATAATTTCGAATGGACGCCGTCCAAGCTCCTCAGAAATTTCTACTAGGGCATTGCAAGGCCACTCCCTCTGGAAAAAAGCTGCAGCTATTGACCAGATGCCGTGCCAGATCAGGTCCTCGGTGATCTGGACTCCGGTCAGCCAAAATGAATGACTCTTTGGCAGGACTCGGCCATCCATCGAAACCGGATGAGCGCTAGGCTTGTTCGTCAAGGTACAGTACTGTGTTTTGGAAGTATTAAACTGTACAAGCAATGATAACTTCCAGGTTTGTTGTCAGGGGGGAAGTCGCCGCTAGGCTGAGGATTGGGTTGATCGTACAAAGAAGAGGTCAGGTCAGGAGAGAATGTCAGCTACCCATCTGCAAAGCTTCTCTGGAAAGCCAAAGGATGGAAGTTGGTTGAGTTTACTCCACAATTGGGTGGCATAAGCTAGGTCACTTGTGGATCGCTGCACATACGAGTACTTGAATTAAAAATCCCGACAAAAATCGATGTCTAAGATGCCGGAACAGATGCTAGAAAAAGCCCACGCTTTTTTGTTTACCCACTGCTATTTCTCGCTAGTAGTCTCGGTGCGAATTTGATCATTCTTCATTGCTCACGTATCTGTTCTCAGCGTATTTATTGGGAGGTGAATATTTCAAAGTTTTTACAAGTTATTACGAATCGTGTACCAGTTTTTCAACATGGACGTTTCTGAGGCAGGTATATACAACCTATTTTGTCAATTTTAATTGTAATATTAGCTGATTTGTTAGAAAAAATGACGTTTACGCGAAATCTATGTTCCAATCATTTTTACCTTTGATATTAATTAAACTCTAATGGTTTTGATGAATTTCTGGATGTATCCCGGTTATGATTTTGGTCTCATATTATGTAATTAGATATTGATTAATCATATCGACAGAAAATATTTCCAACTTCATCCAAATTTCAGGATAATCGCCAAATAAAAGATGAACGTTCGTTTAAGCCATTTCTTTTCTTTCTTTATAGGGCCTTCTGGAGTCAAGATCATTACTCGAACAAAAATGTACGACATTATGCAAGGATATCCCAATAACGAAATTAACAAAAAATTGGACTACGCCGATTATTTTTTTGTTGAATTCTCAAAATTATTCAGAAGAACAACGAAAAGAAGTTAAGCACAAATTGTCAAATCTAAAATCAGAAATAAAACGTAGATGGATTGCCGCACATTACATAGAAGATCTTTTCCTTAAAATAAATAATCGTTGGCTCAAAATGACGTTTGAAATACCACAAACAAAATCACGACCAGGGCGCCCACAGACATCTTTTAGTAATATACTAAGTGACATATAAATCCGAACACCCAGTTTAAATGGTTTTATTTTAATAAAAGTTGGTGAATGTATTTATCTTACTGTAAATAACAAGTGAAAAAATCAGTTGGACATTCCGGTTTTTATACTGCTTTTTTTTAATTCACTAACGCCCCAAAAATGAATATTTCAGCCGCAGTAGAGAATCAATGTTGGCGGATTTTGGTTCTTGACATCCTTTACGATCGGTTACGATGCCTAGAGTACGGAGACCTGTACGATTTCGTCAACTTAGTGAGTTTGATAGGGGCCGTATAGTGGGACTTCGGGAAGCTGGACTTTCTTTTCGGGCAATTGCAGTTAGAGTGCAAAGAAGTGTAGACACTGTGATTAGGTGTTGTCAGGCATGGCTTCGAGAAGGCCGTACGCAAAGAGCAAGGGGCACTGGACGCCGCCGTAGAACAACAGACGGTGAAGATCGTCGCCTAAGTATTGGCCTTAAGGGACAGTTTCTCCACTACCAGGTCCATTGCAAATGAATGGTTTGCAGAACACGGAAGACCTATTGGCATGCGAAGTGTTTACCGACGAACGAGAAGTTTTGGCTTGTTTTCATACCGGCCACACTGGGTCCTCCCTTTAACTCGAGAACACCGACGTAATCGCCTTGAGTGGTGCAGACAACGGTCACTCCGGGATCAGGAATGGAACAGTATTGTCTTTAGTGACGAATCTCGATTTTGTTTAGGCATGCACGATGGTCGTGCCAGGGTTAGAAGGCGACGTGGTGAAAGGAGGAATCCATAGTTTTTTGTTGAAAGACATGTTCATCATACTGTTGGAGTTATGGTTTCAGGTCACCTTTAATCTTCATCAGAGGTAACATGAACGCGCAGCGTTATATCCACGAAGTTCTAGAACCCCATCTTTTACCCTATCACACCCTGGCAGATCCAACTTTCCAACAAGATAATGCCCGACCACATGTTGCAAGAGTCACAATAGACTTCTTTCAACATAATGATGTCACATTGTTACCATGGCCACCAAGATCTCCCGACTTATCCCCAATTGAGCACGTGTGGGATATGATGGGTAGGAGATTGCTCAATTTGCAACGTCCTCCTCAGACTCTAGAAGCACTTCGAGAGGAGTTGGTGGTTGCCTGGAATGAGATACCACAGGAGGATATTGACCACCTGATCAGAAGCATGCCTAGGCGCGTTCGAGAATGCGTAGCACATCAGGGTGCATCCACACATTATTAAAGGTCAAAGGGCTTTAAAGCAGTGCAATCATTTTGAAATTTTTATCATTTACTTATTATGCTTCACTAAATTTTATTAAAATAAAACCATTTAAACTGGGTATTCGGATTTATATGTTGCTTAGTATAGATTATTATTGAGCTCGGATCATCTTATAACTGGCATGAGACCTACACCAAGAGAAATTACAAAACCATTTCTCAAGGAAACTGTTGAAATGCTCCTGCGTGAAGAACTGATGGACCAGTCAAATTTGTCTGGTGATAATGCTGATGATGATGATGATGAAGACTCTACACCCGAGATAGGAGACTATTTAGATGATTCTTGGTTGTCATCTCCTTAATAACATTTTTTATATTTTTTTTAATAAATATTTTCATGTTTTTCAACTATCAGCCTTCTATTTCTTTACCTGCTGTTCTTAGTAGCATTATTAACCATAACAGAGCAAATTACAGTTTTTGAAGTAACTTAAAATGAAAAAAAGTTTTGTCCGGATTTTTTATTCAAATACCCGTATGTACGCTGGCAGGAAACAAGTCCGGTCCAGAAGCTTTGTTGATGTCGAGCGACAAGAGTACTCGTCTTACGGTCTTATACCTGAATGTTAGTTCCCGCATAGTGTAGGGAACCCTTTGAATTGACGACACTTGGGCGTCCATGGTGGAGTTGGCAGCAAAGATCTTGGCAAGGACTTCCGTTTTGGCCTTTAAGTCGGCTACAATCCTTCCACCCTGACACGTTAGTAGAAGTTTTTTCAATCTGCTTGGCCAGCATTCAGAAAGACCGATATTATACTCGTGAAGCCGCCCCTGCTCATTGTCTTCGGCGATTGTCTTCTCACTCGATACATTATCAACTCCACTGATACCATTGTATTTTAGGGAATATCATGTGTCAAATATTATTTTGTAAAACCTAATTTCCTTTTGTGTTTCTTATTATCTGGGTCATATTAAAGTCAGTTATGTGTTACATTTTTTTATTCTCATACATATCCCATACATTAATTGCATTTAATATATATAATTTTAACCTTATATGCTAAAAGATATCAGTTTCTTTGACTAGAAGCTATAAATATTTTTGAATAATTTAAGTGAAATTGCACATAAATTTTTATAACAACGTAAAATAATATATAAAGTTGCATTTGTCATTGCATATGACCAATACGAATGATGAAATTTACTCAACTCAAATGTGCGTTGAATCATCTTGTGTAACGAAAAAAAGCAATGCAAAAAATATTTTCCAGAAATAGAAAAATAAGTAAATTTCAATTCGTATTGGGCATACTACTTCCGTCATCCAATATCTTTTCCTCGCGTTCTTATAGTCTAGGCAAATTAGATTTTATCGTTAAACTAGATAAAGTTGTTATCAAATGTATCGATCTATAAGTTTTTTATAATGATTCTACTCTTTAGATATTCATCTGCAGATTCTTGGAACAACAAAAAACTCTAATATGCCTGGAATATTTCCAGATGGATCGATTTTCCAGATAAAAAACTCTAAACCCTTTACGAAGGCATTACTGTTATAGCACCAATCTTACATATATAGTTAACAATTATTGGATACTTGTAGAGTGCTAAGCTCAATCTCTGTTACTGGAATTTCGATGGTATTTTTGAGTCCAGATTATATTAACTCTCGAAACAACTGGCCCCTCTACTTGAAGTATTTTCAAGAAAACAAACAATAATTCCTGACATGATAATTGAAAAATCATGTTCAAGATATCCAATCTACACATTCAAAGCTCTTGCATCATTTTCTTATAACAACCAGCCTTAAAAAAAGTCAAAATTATTTTAGTAATAGTAAAATTAAAAAAAAAAACTTTTAAAGTTGCATTTATATAAAATTATCGACGTGAATCGCATATGCCAGATTATAGCAAATCTACAGAAACTGCAAAGGAGAATATAAGCTGCACTCAAAAAATAATTATATCTATCTTACTAAAATATTTTATTCATTGCATCACACACCAAAGCTTTTGAGTGGTAGGCCCATTTAAAAAAAAGTAATACACAAATACTTAGAAGGTAAAACATAACTCAAAATCAGCTGCAAATTTTACGCTATACCAAGAAAAACAAATCAATTCGCCATTATTATTTTCAAAACATTATACTTGTGAAGCTTTTTTCATCATTTAAAAATCAAAAGAATATAGTACGGTTTCTGGGTTGTTCAAATATCAACCCTTTGAGGATAATCAATTCTATGATTTTTTCGTATTTCTCGGTATGACGAAAAACTGATGTCTAGATATTCATACACTACGAATAACATCAATACTCTAATAAATACTTGAGGAAAAATCTTTGGTGATTCTAACATGAAAGCATATGTAAATATACGTAATGAAAAGTAATCACAAAAAACATACGGCCTGAGTACCTACCTCACGGCATCTTTGTTTTCCAATATTGAAGCTCGTCAATATTAAGAAAAACTATCACATGCGATCTTAACAGGTAAAATATCAAAGCGGGTCACACGAAATAATTATGCAGTGAAGCATTTTCTATATTCAAAGATGGCGCACTGGCATTGAAATGAAGATTGGGTTATGATAAAGATTGTCTTTGAGATTCATTCAATTATGGATCAAAATCTTGGCATCAGGCATTACCGTAATCTCTATTAATGCATCGTCATGCTGGTCATGACCTGTTCGACATCATTTTAAGTACTCTGGCAGAAACAAGAAGACAGATTTTAGATCCTCTAAATCTTTATTAAAATGGCATGACGGCTCAATCCCGATCCATAAATAAAATGTGGTAAGAATGGTACACAATTCAATGTTTGATGTTTCATCTGGATAATTATTTCTCTCGTCTTTTTTAGCCCAGGTGTTACAGCTAGAAGATTATAGCTAATCTATCAGTTTCACATATATCTTGACGAAAAAATCTCGCCATTTATTTATCAATAAACTTTAAAATAATCAACTTCTGGTCCTATCAGAAGGACAACAATTTTGAATAAATATTTAAAAGAACAACATTTAATTCAATGTTGACATATAGATGTTAAAACTGAGAGTGTCTCTGAATGAGATCGCCATCTTGAAATGACATGTATCACATTCTTTACACCCAATTTAATATACTGGATCTTCACTGAATGAGGAGCCACTACTAATTTTTTCATCAAGATTTAAAAAAATGTGTTATTACGTGCGGTTTCTCATTCGATTTACTCCTTTTGCTATTATTTATTTATTTAGTTCTTTTCAGAAAATTCTGTTCTTAATCATTTATCTGTCATTATATTTTAGGTATACGAATACCTCTTCGATGCTGTTTCCAATTTTGCAAAATGACTGCATTCTTACTACTTCACAAATGTTAATCTAAAACCCTGCTACTCCAGCTCTGAAAAGTAAAAATCATTTCCAAAATATTTTGCTCTATATTCTAGTTAATAAAGTATTACTTTTTTCTGTCAATAATCAATCAATTTCTAACATTTCTGTTGTTATCAAATGATTCCGTATGTTGTACACTGTGTACGGAAAAACTGTGTAAAACGTATACAAATTAAGTAAATTTAGCCTATGTCTCATCACTCACTGAAAACCCTGTTTAGTTGCTAAGCCATATTCTAGGGCTAAGTTTCTATGTGTTGACTGTGAAGACTGGAATCTATGAGGTACAACTTAAGGAAGATATTGATTTTATCCTATACTTTGGACGTCTTTTCATATAATTCTGTACGAAGGAGGAATAGAGTTCTAATGTTTTTCTGATACTGATGAATCTCCACGTGGCAATCCCATGGATTATTGCTGCTAAGTGGCGGTCTTGGCGCGAAATTTAAAACTCTAATCTATAAGCACTACATGATGTTTCATGGTCCTGTAGGTTTATGGTACACCTAGATGCGGATGGTGACAGGTCTATCTTGTATTTTGCTAGAAGGTCTTCGTTTTCTGCTACCCAGTAACCAAGTACGTCGGTGTCATAGGTGGGGATGATGGTTACCTCTGGAAATTGAAAAAAAAAAATAATAAAAGTAAGTTATCCGAATGTGTTGGACAGAATTATCTATTCGGGAAAGCTTTATTCGGGTTCTACCCAAAACTATACTGATTACACTCAGTTGGTTCTCGGATATCGGCTACTGGTAGTTTAAAACGGGTCTGGATTCCCTGTAAAAATCCGAATGGAGGTGATGAAATACGATATCGCTACATATTTTGATTCAATAAACATTCTTCCTTGTTGAATGGTTACTTTTGGTCGGTTATCCGTTCGACCACTCTAAAGGTATGTTTGCAATGTAACAAACTGCAAGCAACTGTAGAGTAGAGATGCAGGTTTCCCGGCACCTGGGTCTCAACATGTCTGGAGTTGTTTCCGCATGAACATATGTTTGGAATATAGGTATATATACTAAATGACATATAAATCCGAACACCCAGTTTAAATGGTTATATTTTAATAAAAGTTGGCGAATGTATAAAAAATTTTCAGCCTTATCAGTTGGACATTCCGGTTTTTATACTGCTTTTTTTAATTCACTAACGCTCTAAAAATGAATACTTCAGCCGCAGTAAAGAATCAACGTTGGCGGATTTTGGTTCTTGACATCCTTTACGATTGGTTACGATGCCTAGAGTACGGAGACCTGTACGATTCCGTCAACTTAGTGAGTTTGATAGGGGCCGTATAGTGGGACTTCGGGAAGCTGGACTTTCTTTTCGGGCAATTGCAGTTAGAGTGCAAAGACGTGTAGACACTGTGGTTAGGTGTTGTCAGGCATGGCTTCGAGAAGGCCGTACGCAAAGAGCAAGGGGCACTGGACGCCGCCGTAGAACAACAGACCGTGAAGATCGCCGCCTAAGATTATTGGCCTTAAGGGACCGTTTCTCCACTACCAGGTCCATTGCAAATGATTGGTTTGCAGAACACGGAAGACCTATTGGCATGCGAAGTGTTTACCGACGAATGAGAAGTTTTGGCTTGTTTTCATACCGGCCACACTGGGTCCTCCCTTTAACTCGAGAACACCGACGTAATCGCCTTGAGTGGTGCAGACAACTGTCACTCTGGGATCAGGAATGGAACAGTATTGTCTTTAGTGTCTTTAACCTTCATCAGAGGTAACATGAACGCGCCGCGTTATATCCACGAAGTTCTAGAACCCCATCTTTTACCCTATCTTGACACCCTGGCAGATCCAACTTTCCAACAAGATAATGCCCGACCACATGTTGCAAGAGTCACAATAGACTTCTTTCAACATAAGGATGTCACATTGTTACCATGGCCACCAAGATCTCCCGACTTATCCCCAATTGAGCACGTGTGGTATATGATGGGTAGGAGATTGCTCAATTTGCAACGTCCTCCTCAGACTCTAGAAGCACTTCGAGAGGAGTTGGTGGTTGCCTGGAATGAGATACCATAGGAGGACATTGACCACCTGATCAGAAGCATGCCTAGGCGCGTTGGAGAATGCGTAGCACATCAGGGTGCATCCACACATTATTAAAGGTCAAAGGGCTTTAAAGCAGTGCAATCATTTTGAAATTTTTATCATTTACTTATTATGCTTCATTAAGTACTTATACAAAATTTTACTAAGATAAAACCATTTAAACTGGGTGTTCGGATTTATATGTCACTTAGTATATGTTTGCAACATAGGTATATATTTCGGAACATGCACTTAGTGATTTAATTTGACATCAACAGCCTTACCTAAGTCTTTATCTTCCCATGTTTGCTTAGCCTCCAACAAAGCGTTGTACACCTCCCTACTGGGCTCGATACCAGAGAACACGTAGTACCGCGCTCGTATTCTCTTGAAGAAGTCCACGTAGGCATAGTATGTGTTGCCGTGATGTGGAACGTACGTTAAGTCAACGTAGATGGGGTTGTTCTTCTTGTTCCTGTTGTGCTTTGAAGGGGATTCAGCACGTTTCTTGTCGTCGTTCAGCTTGTTCTTGGCCGATACGTTCGACGGAAGTTTGCGTTCTTTCTTTGGAGTTCCTTTGTTGTCGTTTGGAGGCGCTGGGCTTGGCAACCCTAGCGGCTTACCTTGATAGATAGATTATGATATCAGTATTATAGTTAGTAGTTCAAACCGCACATAGGTAAGTTGAAAACCGAAAGCTCGTAAAGGTTGAAATCGCTTTAAATTTTCTAAATTTTTTATCTTTCAAAGTTAACGATGCATATCCTGAGTGAAATATATTTTTTGCTTCTTTTCTTGTTTTTTTTTCTTTAGATGGAATCACCTGCTTTTTGTGTGTTTTCTGTTTTAGTTTGTTTGATTCATCTTAGGATTTTCCTGTAACTGTTAGGCAATAAACGCTATTCATTTATTAATTATTTATATTTAAAGTGAGGTAATATAAAAATGCTCTTCAAGGTCTTGTAGAGCAAGGTTTCAAGTTCAATTTAAATACTTGGCAATCTCAAAATAATAATTGTTAACTGAGTTTTGAAGCATTGAATATAACCGCATGCTAACCCAGATTAAATTTGCTTAATCATTTTTTTTAAATAAATTAATTTGTTTTAACCCAAACAATTTTTTCCCGGTTTTTGGATTATTCCCAACAAAATAATTTTCCATTAACTTTTCTCTGAAGCTGACCATTTTCTAGTGATCATTCACCACTATCACTAGCTTATACTGGATGAAATTGAAATGTGTAATCGGTCGATAGCTCCATTATTATAAGAGAGTGCGAATCTTAATGGGCTGAACACTTCCTGCATCTCGAAGTCTTTGGCACATTTGCACAAATGTCCTTCTGTCTGGGTGTACCCGTTGGCGAAATCTGTCGCGATACATTTGAGCTGCAAGATTTGAATTCTGACGAGCTTCACCGAAAACTAACAACATGTCGGCGAACTCTTGATTCGAGTACATTGTAAATAAACACGACGACGTACGCGAACAAAAACAAAACAACACGCCGGATGCTTTGCTCGACAAAACGATAAAGTAATTTATAACTCTAGACACCTATGGTCCACTGTCAATGATATATTCAATAAGTCATCCTATTCAAAAAACAATATTAATGAAATAAAAACAAAAACAGGACAGAAAACAGACAATATTCAGCAAATATGTGATGAGTTCATAGAATTTTTCACGAATATATGTTAGGAGGAAACTTAGCAAATAATATCAAACAAAATGCTGATATTCATCTGCATGAAACAAGACTGAATAATTCATTTGTATTAACTGAAGTAGACTATCAGGATGTTTTCAATGCCATTATGACTCTAAAAAATAAAAAAAAGCCCTGGAGTTGACGAAATTAGAGCTGAACATCTAAAGATACTGGCCAAACAAATAACAGAACCACTTGCTTATATCATTAACAAATCCTTCCAATCTGGAGTATTTCCATCAGCTTTCAAGACAGCAATCATCATACCTATCTATAAATCTAATGATAATACGGACGTCACTAACTATCGACCTATTTCACTTATATCAAGTTTAGCTAAAGTTTTTGAGAAATTACTCCTTAATAAAATGATTAATTTTCTTAATAAATTCAAAATTCTAAATTCAAATCAATATGGTTTTATAGCGGGCAAATCTACAACAGATGGGGTATTAAGTATAGTAGATGAAATAACCCAAAATATAGATGGAAAAGTACTATCGATATGCGTATTTATGGACTTACAAAAAGCGTTTGACACAGTTAACCACAATATACTTTTGGAAATCTTAGAAAGAATAGGTTTTCGTGGAAAGATGTATACTTTAATGGAAAATTATTTATCAAATAGACCGCAATCAGTAAAATTATTAAGCTCGTATAGTAAAGAAATGTTTGTTAAATGTGGTGTTCCACAAGGTACAATTTTGGGTCCTCTATTATTCAATATTTATTTAAACAATATATTCAAAATTAACAGTACTGGTAAAATAGTCAGTTTTGCAGACGATACTGCTATACTCTATAAAGGTAAGGATTGGAACGACTTAAAAGATATTATCCAAAATGACTTTTGCAAAATTATTCAGTGGTTTAATAACCGAAAATTAACAATTAACTTTACTAAAACTCATTTTTTACCATTTTCATCACTATCTAATCATCTACCAAAATATAACCACCTTCGGTTTAAGGTAAATGATAAAAATATAAAAATCAATAGAGTTAATGATACAAAATATTTAGGAATTTATCTAGATCCCCATTTGAGATGGGATGTACATATTTCTCACATACTAAAGAAAATTAGATTCATAGCATATAAAATAAAATTTCTAACCGGTATATTAACTGAATATTATCTACGAATAATATATCAAGCTTTAGTCGAGCCACACATAACATACGGTATAGTAGTGTGGGGTGCTGCATGCACGACATACTTTAACGATTTAGATGTACTTCAAAGAAGAATTTTAAAATCAATGTTAGGCAAATCAAAATTATACCCAACTAATGACTTATATAATGATGCACAAGTATATGATACTAAACAACTTTACTTCTTACATACCATCACTCATTATCACAAAACTATTAGTGAACACGACATAATTAAACATAATCATAAAACCAGATATAAATTACGCGCAAAAAATGTTCCTAAACCAAACAAATCCCTAATGAAACGGTGTCACCTGTATATAGCTCCAAAATTGTACGAACATATACCAAATAATTTAAAACAATTACGCAATACATTAGGCTTCAAAAAAAGTTAAAAAAATTTATTAACACGATTGGGAGAAATCAAATTAATAAAATAATCTCAAATATTACACAATAAATGCTCTACCATTCATACCAATAATTTCTTTTTTCTCTCTATTTTATTATATTTTGCAATTCAACAGACATATGATCCATGCACAGGCGTTGTCCTCCTATGGATATATTATATTTATTTACTCGTTTCATGTTCCCTGTATTTTAGAGTAAATAAATATTATTATTATTATTATTATTATTATTATTATATATGCAAAACGATAACTAACCACTGTTACCGTTTGCGATCGATTGCCGGTTCGATAAGAGTGATGAAATACCGACGCGCTGCTGTCATGTGTGTTTTAAATATTTAATTTAATGAAACTTACTGACTACAAATTTTGGCTTAACTTAGAAAAACTTAATGCCATTTATTTGTTAATTACCCAATTTAAAAACGTAGATTAAAGCACTAAAAGTTGTAAACTATAAAGCCATTTAGACAAAAATCTATTGACTTTAGGACCATGAGTCATATGACCTTTTTGACTTGTTTTGACACCCCTATTACCCATTTCAATAATGACTACCGTAACGTTTACACCCTATATATATCTTTATATGTAGAAAGTTTTCACTATTGACCTTTCTGTTACCAGTAACTTTGTAGACGAGCTAAACTTTTAATAAAGAACTGATTCGACAACTGACAAAGGTGATGTTTCTTTAAGTACCTACATAATTTTTTGGACGCTAGAGTTCAATGAGCTGAGAAGATAACTTACCCCACATTCTCAAAGGATCGATGTCATCTTCTTCAGTAGGCAGACTTCCATAGAAGCTGGTATTCATCATATCCATCTCTCGGTATAGGTAACTGCTTTGGACTTCCTCGTTTACCTCTGCTTCATTATCTGTACCCGTACTATATTTGGCTTTGGTGATTTCATATAAATAAGTAGGATAAGGAGGTGGTGGCAACCCCAATGGTTTTCCTAAACTCTTATCCGAATCTTTATCTTTGGAAGAGGTGGGTTGATCTTCAGTCTGTCCATGCTGGCCTTTTCCTGCGTCGACAGGTTCAAGCACTGGCGTGGAAAATTTGGCCTTGGTGACTTCGTACAAATGAGTGACTGCACCTTCTTTGATATCTTCATCTGCTTGGTCATCTTCAGGAAGTGACCCATAAAATGACATACACATGGGATCCATCTGCTCTGTGACATTGAAATGACTGTCACTCTCTGTGTACTCAGTGTACCTGACTTCTGGACTTGATGCTTCTTTGATGTTGGGACTGACTGGAACGGTAGGTGGTGTAGCAGCTCCAGAAATGTCCTTATCGCCAGCAGATTTATCACCAGTAAGTAATATTTCAACATCTGATATTGAGAGTTTTTTTGCTTGGGAACTTGAATGCGTCACTTCTAATGTACTCTTGGTGTGGATATCCATCTCATGGGTATGTTCTGATAATGATTCTTTTCGCGAGCGGGATATACTGTCTTTCCTTACTTTCTCTACAGCTGTTTCGTCTGTGACACGCTTTCCACTTTCCACAATGGTTTGCTCTTGCGCGGTACTGTGCTTAGTAACATCAGTTGGAACGTTGTCTTTGTCACCACGTTTATCTTCAACTTTATCAAATGATATTCGTTTGGAAAGCTTGGTAACGGTATCATAAGCCTTTTCAACATCACCCGCAGTTTGTTCTAATATCTTTTCGTCATGTTCTATCACAGCTTGGTCTATGTGGGAGCCACTATCAACCTTTTCGAAAGAAATATCCGTAGCTAATTTCTTAACAGTATCATATGCATCTTCAATATCGTCTGCTCTCTGTTCTAACAGTTTTTCGTCTTTCTTTAATGTTTCCTTATCGATGTGAAGAGTGTCTTCAACTTTTTCGAATGGAATCGTTTTCGCAAGCTTTGAAACTGTTTCGTACGCGTCTTCAATATCACTGGCTCTTTCCTTTAATAGATCTTCATCTTTCTTTGTAGTTTTATTAATTTCACATTTTTCTTCTACTTCAAATTTAATCGATTTTTCTGGTTTTGGTACTGAGTCCTCAGTACCATCAGCATGTCTTTCCAACAGTTTTCCATCTTTTTGTGAAGTTTCAGATACATTATCGGTAGTTATGGTTGATGTACCATCTGTTACACATATCTTATCATCTTTTTTATGACTTTTATCAGTAAGTTTTTCGAAGGAAATCGACTTAGCAAGAGCGTTAACAGTTTCATACGCGTCTTCTATATCCTCGGCTTTCTTTTCCAAGTCCTCTTCATCTTTTTTCACAACTGTAGGATCAATAGTACTTGTTTCACATTTATCAAACATTACAGACTTTGACATATCAGTTACGTTTTTGAACGTGTCAGCTAACTCAGCAGCAGATTGTTCGAGGGCTTTTTCCGGAGTTTCTTTGACTGAGGGTGACTTCACCTTGCTGTCAAATTCGTCAGCTACTGTGGCTTCTTCTAAAGCAACGGTATCATCTTTTTTTATCCTATCGATTATGACGAAATCTTCAGCCACCGATTCTATAAATTCATCTTGTATTTCCTTGATTGCTTTTTTGATTTCCTCGTCAGCTTTGATAATTTGTTCTTTTTCACTTTCAGTCCTTGTGCCAATTCTCTCATCTTTTTGGTGGCTCTTTGCATCTTTTATCAATCCATTGGAAGTCAAAGATGATCTTCTATCAGTACTACTTTTAACTTCTGTTGTATCTTTAGTTTCTTCCGCTGCTGCTTTTTTAGGCGACTCGACATCTGCGTGCGATTCTTCCTTTAGTTCAAATTCAGCATCTTTCGTCACAGCTTCAATGAATGATTCTTGTACTTCTTGGATTTCCTTCTTCAATAACTCATCAGCTTTTAAAGAGGGTTTCCTAGACAACAAGTCTTTTTCCGTAGATTTTGTTTCAGCTTCAGAATCTTTCGCAACAGCTTCAACGAATGATTCCTGAACTTCTTGGAGTTCCTTCTTCAGTAACTCATCAGCTTTTAAGGAGGGTTTCCTAGACGAGTCTTTTTCCGTTGTTTTTGTTTCAGCTTCAGCGTCTTTTGCCACAGATTCAACGAATGATTCCTGAACGTCTTGGATTTCCTTTTTCAGTAACTCATCAGCTTTTAAAGAGGGTTTCCTAGACAAGTCTTTGTCCGTAGATTTTGTTTCAGCTTCAGAGTCTTTCGCTACAGCTTCAACGAATGATTCTTGTACTTCTTGAATTTCCTTCTTCAATACCTCATCTGCTTTTAGAGAGGGTTTCCTAGGCAACCCGTCTTTTTCCGTAGATTTTGTTTCAGCTTCAGCATCTTTCACCACAGCTTCAACGAATGATTCTTGAACCTCCTGGATTTCCTTATTTACTAATTCATCAGCTTTTAGAGAGGGTTTCCTAGGCAACAAGTCTTTTTCCGTAGATTTTATTTCAGTTTCAGCATGTTTCGCAACAGCTTCTACTAATGATTCTTGAACTTCTTGGGTTTCCTTTTTCAGTAAGTCATCAGGTTTTAGAGAGGGTTTTCTATGGAGTAAGTCTTTTTCCGTAGATTTTGTATCAGCTTCAGCATCTTTCGCAACACCTTCAACGAATGATTGTTGAACTTCTTGGATTTCCTTTTTCAGTAACTCATCCGGTTTTAGAGAGGGTTTTCTAGGGAGTAAGTCTTTTTCCATAGATTTTGTTTCAGCTTCAGCATCTTTCACCTCAGCTTCAACGAATGATCCTTGAACTTCTTGGATTTCCTTCTTTAATAACTCATCAGGTTTTGGAGGCAATAAGTCTGTTTCCGTAGATTTTGTTTCAGCTTCAGAATCTTTCGCGATAGCTTCAACGAACGATTCTTGAACTTCTAGGATCTCCTTCTTCAATAACTCATCAGCATTTAGAGAGGGTTTTCTTGGAGACAAGTCTTTTTCCATAGATTTTGTTTCAGCTTCAGAGTCTTTTGCCACAGCTTCAACGAATGATTCTTGAACTCCTTGGATTTCCTTCTTCACTAACTCATCAGGTTTCAGAGAGGATTTTCTAGACAAGTCTTCTTCCGTGGATTTTGTTTCAGCTTCAACGTCTTTCGCTACAGCTTCAATGAATGGTCCTTGAACCACCTGAATTTCCTTCTTTACTAACTCATCATCCTTTAGAGAGGGTTTTCGCGGCAACAAGTCTTCAGCTTCAGCATCTTTCGACACAGCTTCAACAAATGATTCTTGTACTTCTTCAATTTGCTTCTTCAATAACTCTTCGCCCTTCAAGGAGGGTTTCCTAAGCATCTCATCTTCTTCACTTGATGTTATTTCAGCTTCGGCATCTTTTACAACAGATTTAACGCGTGGCTCTTGCACTTCATCGATTTCCTTCTTTAACAATTCCTCGGCTTTCAAAGATGACTTCCTAGGTAACAAGTCGTTGTCCGTCGATTTTGTTTCAGCTTCAGCATCTTTCGCTACAGCTTCAGCATCTTTCGCTACAGCTTCAACGAACGATTGCTGGACTTTTTGAGTTTCTTCCTTCAGCAACTCCTCAGCTTTCAAAGAAGGTTTTCTGGACAACAAGTCCTTGTCTGTTGATTTAGTTTCAGCTTCAACATCCTTTGTCGCAGCTTCAACGACTGATTCCTGCATTTCTTCGATTTCCTTCTTTAATAATTCTTCACCTTTTGACTTTCTAGGTAATAACTCTTCGTCCGACGATTTTTGGATTTTTTCCTTCAGTAACTCCCCAGCTTTCAACGAAGGTTTTCTAGGCAACACGTCTTTGTCTGTTGATTTTACTTCTGCTTCAGCATCTTTTGCGTCAGCTTCAACGAATGTTTCTTGCACTCCTGCGATTTCCTTCTTTAATAATTCGTCATATTTCAAAGATGGCTTTCTAGCCAGCAAGTCCTCCGAAGATATTGTTTCAATTTCAGCATCCTTTGCCAAAGCTTCAACGAACGATTCTTGCACTTCTTGGATTTCTTCTTTCAGCAATTCCTCAGCTTTCAAAGAAGGTTTTCTAGGGAGCAAGTCTTTATCTGCTGATTTTATTTCACCTTCGTCATCTTTCGCCTCAGATGCGATGAATGAATCCTGTACTGCTTGGATTTCATCCTTTAATAACTTATCAGCCTTCAAAGAAGGTTTCCTAGGTAACAAGTCTTTGTCGGTTGGTTTTTCTTCAACTGCTTCTTTAATACCTATCGTGTCATCTTTCATCTGTTCTACGTCCTTTGGTTTATCTGTTTTTGACTCAGTTGGATGTTGAAGATCTCTAATTTCTTCTCTGAGCATCTCTTCGGTTTTTGAAGATTTTTTAAGCGACTCTTGAAGTTCTCTGATTTCCTCTTTGAGCGCCTCTTCGGCTTTTGAAGATTTTCTAAGTGATTCTTTATATCCTTCCTCAATGTTTTCTGCGACAGTCATATCTTTTTTAGCAGCATCTTCATGTTTGTGTTCTATTTTCATATTATCCTTTGTTCCAATTGATTTTGACGATATTTTTTCATCAATCCTTTCAGCAGATTCAATTACAGTTTTGGCTTCATCAGTAGTGTCTTTAGTTATGGAGTCAACGAAACTGTCTTGCACTTCCTTAATTTCTTCTCGCAAATGCTCGCTAACTAGAGAAGATTCGTCTTTACCAGTTGCTTTTGTAGGATCGACCTTTTCTGGAAATTCTGCCTTCGGTAGCGTATGATATGAGACTTTATCATCACCATCGATTTGTTCTTCTTTAGTATCTTTGCCTAGTGCTTTTTCATCGACAGTCATTTTGTATATGTCTTTAGCTCCATCGTCTTTTGATACAGTGCTCACGAAATCGTGTTGTTCTGCTTCGATTTCTTTCCTTAGAAAATCATCTGTTTGCTTAACAGATTTAGATTCTAAGTCTCCTACAAAGTTTTCTTGGATCGCTTCGAAAGCATGTTGCTTAGCATCTTCCGCTTTAATGTCCTTTTCCACGCACTCTTGAATTTCATCCTGAAGAGGCTTACCATCTGATGGAGAAATTTGTACAGGAGATGTTTCGTCAATATCTATGCCATCGGTTATCACAGTGTCCTTTGCATCGGAGTCAAAGAAATTCTGTTGAACCTCCTGGATATCCTTTTTCAATAGTTCATCAGCTTTTAGAGATGGTTTTCTGAACAGTTGTTCCTCTTCTATATCGGATTCTTTTTTCAAATGGTCATGAGCTTTAGAAGGTGATTTTTCTGGAGTTTTGTCGTTTTCTACTTTATTTGCATCGTAGTCAAGGTCTTTCGGAGACGTATCTCTGATGTACCCCAATTCTTCTTCCTCTCTTTTGTCTTCTTTTTTATCTTTGACATCTTCCTTTTGCTCTTTGGTATGACTATCACCAGGTTTTGTTAGTTCCTCCGGTTTTTGCTCAGGTCTCTCATCTTTTTTGGCTACAGTTTCGGCTTCAATTTTTTCAACTGCTTCAATGCTCATATCTTCCTCGGTCTTTTTGAACTCGTCAGTATCTTTGGACTGCTCCAAATCAGAAATGTCCGGGGTTGATTTTCCAGATGCGATGCTTTTGATGGAAGCATCTTTATCAGGTGTCGATTTGCCTGAAATGGTTTTGATCGACGCGTCTTCGACTTTCTTGAGCGGGGACTCCCTTCCACTGACTTTTTCTGTGGTAGATTTCTGGTCTGGAAGCTCCACATCCGATTTACCGTCGTCGATACCTTTAAAAAGAGATATGCGTCAGTAGAATGGGAAGTATGATTATAAGGATTATAGGATTCCAAGAATATGAAATGGTTAAAACATTATTAATGATAACCGAAATTAATGAGAAATTGAAACTAAAACGTTTATGAATGCGTTATGTGTAGGGTAGAGATACAGTGATTATGAAATACAAGTCCAAGCGCCTTGGGATTTGGATATTAAATGTGATCAGATACAGGTTAGTCCACCCTTTGTGTGGATGTACTGTTGCTTCCAAACAAAAACCAACTAAAAAAGTTATTGGTGGATTATACGATTATCCGAATGTTGTTTGAACACGCCTCTCAAATACTGGATCAGTGGTGACTTAATCGGGATGTAGGACATCTTTGAAATCAAAATTAAAAGCTGTTCAATTATGTGAAATCCAATATGGTGTCCATAATAAACACTAAAGTTGATTACTGAGGCCAAGAAACGAAACGTCAATTTTCAATATTCAATTATGCCACCTTGTACCCTTAGAGGAGAAAAAGTGGGAATGACGATGTGATTTTTATTTAGAAATCTTTGACTTCGTTTCTGTTACCGTTTCTGGGATCCCAATGGTGAGAGTCGAATTCAAAACATTCGGCATATGACATACAAAATTCTTAAAGCTTTCATTTTTCGCCGAAATGATATTTGATAACTACATAAAGCGGTATTTTAACTAATAGACAGAAAGTTATGTAGACCAAAGAATACAGTGCATAATGACGGAGGAGACTGCTGACAGTCATTGCGCCAAAGTAAAGCTTTTCAGGCAGAAACTTTCTAAAACATGCAGTTTGTCATACTGCGCAGATCAATGCACAACATATGTACAGCTACGAAATCAAAGTTCTGCCTCATCACCCTCTGTAAAAAGTTTTCCAGAATTTAGTAAAAGAAAATGCGTTTGCATACGGCTGTCGTCAGTACCTCATCAACCATTCAATACAGAGGTACTGGATACAAATACTAAAAGTTCTTGCAGTGAAACATTTCCAAGTTCCTCAATAGGGTACTAGAGATAGTAATACTAACCCCGCAATAGAATCTAAAGAGCTAAAAAGCGTAAAAGCACCTAAGTCTTCTTCCTATCTTACTTCTTAAGCTGCTCACCTGAATCTTTCTCTTCTTGTTCTCTTGTTCTAACAGTAGTCAATGACTCCGAGACGGTGTCTATGACAGAAGATTTTTGCGATAATTTCTGAGAATGATCTGGCGAGCTCCTTCCTGAGCTCTCAGAGCTTCTTGAGAACGTAATGGACCCTGGTGGACATATTTCAATTTCCTCTCCACCATCTTCACTGGATGCCGTAACCAGCATCCTATGAACTGTACCTACTTCTTCTTCGTTTTCTTTCTCATCGGTTTTGGCCGTTTTGATGTCAGATATCATCTTTGATGTAGCCATCATCAGGTCTTGGGATTCTTTGAGCAAACTGCTCCTCCTGTCAGTAGGTTCGATTTCGTGATTCTTCTCTTCTTTAATGAATGTAGAAGTTATGTCCGATTTCACTCCGTTAGTAGCTGAGGGTGAGTCTAAGGTTGTGATGTGCGTCTCACGCAACTCAGAGGTGAATGATGCAAAGGTATCGATTGGTAGTTTCCCTTCAAATTCTTCAAGTGGTGCATCTGACTTCAGTACTTCAGCAACGCTAGCAACGATTTTGATAACGTCTTCTTCACGCTCTTTCGGAGATTTTCGTCCTAGGTCCATTGGAGACTTCCTCCCTAGTTCAATTTTCTCTATTTCGCTGATTGACTTTTTGTGTTCTTGTTTTGTTGTATCAATTTCATCTTGTTTTTCTTCACCTAGAGGCTCTTTATCGTGTTTTTCCAGTTTTTCGGACGTGATATCTTCCTGACTGCCAGATTTTGTACCTTCGAAATGCGAATCCTTCAAGGCCTCAACGTGATTCTGTATTCCTTCGTCAATGGACTTTCTGTCTTCTTTCTTAGCTTCTACAACAATTGCTTTTTCCAGCTCTGTATGCATGTGCCCTGATTTTTCCAATGAATAGTCGTCTGGTTCATGCTTGGTATCTCTCTCTTTTTGCGGTTCAAGTTTTTTCTCAGCTTCCTCATCTTTCTTTTCATCCTCTTTGATTACGTCCTTTGTGGTTTCTTCATGTAATTTTTGATCTGATTTCGTATCGTGTACTTTCTCCGTTTTCTCGTCGTCAGTTTTTTCTTTGGTGTGCTCTTCGTCATCCCTTTCCAACTCTTTCATTGGCCCTGCATCTATTTTATGGTCCTTGACTTCCTGCGGTGTCTTACTCCCATCTTTTTCTTGTTCTGGACTCTTACGATCTCGATTATCAACTGTGGTTTTTGTTTCATCAAGTTTCCAATCATCTTTGATTTTTTCTTGTTTGACATCTTCGATGTCATGTTCTACTTTATCTTTATCCTTCTCATCAGGTTTTGTTGATACATCATCTGCGTGACCTTTTTCGGTAGATGTTTTTTCTACATAATCCTTTTTGTCTGTTTTAACTTCATCTTCGATGTCCTTTGTTGTTTCTTTGCTTTCTTTCAACTCCAACTCAATTTTACTTTCGAGCATTTCTTCCTTATGTTTGGTCGGTTCATGCATCTTGTCCTTGGCATGTGTAGTAGCTTGTTCTTTCGTAGATGTTCCACACGGTTCAGTTTTATCCTTGATTGGTTTGTCCTTTTCGACATATTCTTTAGCATCTTTGTTATCACTGTCTCCTAGTTCAGCTTCTGCTTCATGTTTCAGTTCCTTTATGACATCACGGGTATGCTTTTCTTCATCAAATTTATCTGTTTTACTCACATGCGCTTCGATTATCACAGTTTCATGCATCTGTTTGGTCTCTAATTTTTCAGATTCATCTTTCAAGTGTTTTTCAAGATGACTTTCAGGCTTTTCTGTTTTGCTTTCATGTAGCTGTGTGCCAGTTGTAACTTCTTGCTTATCTTCTTCAGCAACATCTTTCTGTATTGGTTCGGCTTTGAGATCGTCTGGCGCTTTTCCTCCATTTTCTTCATCTTCTTTTTGAGGTTCTTTTTTCGCATCTTTAACAACATCATGCTTATCAGGAGATTTTTCTTTGGTAGATTCCTTGTTAAACTCCCGCTCTTCCTCTTCCTGTTTCTCAACAATATCGGATTTGGTTTCCATCTCTATTTTCTTGTCAAATTCATCTTTCTTTGGAATATGATCCTCTACCTTTTTATCTTCACCAGCCTTGTCTTCAAGCGTGTCTGTTTTCAGTTCAGTTTTAATCACAGTATCAGTCAAATGTTTCAATTCCTCTTCCATCTTTGGTACGACTTCTTTTGACTTCTCCTGAGCAAGTTCATCACTATCCTTCTCAGACTCCACCGTCTTTGTCTCTTCCTTACTCTTGGCTTTTTCCTCCGATTTTTTATCTTCAACGATTTCATTGCTCTTTTCTGTTTCTGCTTTGGCGTCTTGGGTATATTCAATATCCGCTTCTTCGTGTACTGGCAAGTCAGCTACTTCATCGGGAGTTTTCACAATATCTCGGATATGGGAATGCTTATCAAGCTTAATACCTGAAAAAAATTAGCTCGGGTATTCTACTAGGTTAGTTAATACTGCAATTTATTCGTAAAGACATCAGGTACTACAATATAGTATCAAAGTATCGGACTAACTGTTTTACATTACGATTAACTTTATTTGGAAATGAATGCAGAACAGATTTTGAAGTATACATCAGAGCACTGTTTTATCAATTTTGGGTTGTTTACGGATAAATTGTAGTAGTACACAAGCAATTTACACATGGCAAATTCATGTTAGGTTAGGAGTTACCATGAACATTGATTTGCCTGGATAGTTACATATTATTACTTTCAAATAGCAACTACTAAAAAAAAGAAGTGCACATACCTATCACGCTCGGTATTTTTCCAACAGTTTCAACAGGCTTAGGTGGAGGTGGGATCATAGGTACATCCTTCTCTTTGGTGTCTTCTTTCACATGTTTCTCTTCAATTACGTGACCGCTGTCTTCTTTAATCTCGTCGAGAGGAACTTTTTCATCTTCAGGAAGGGTAGGTGCTGTTGTGGTATCTCCAGACTTGATGTTAACAGATACCTTTTCATCAGGATGTGACTCAACCACATCTTTTACTTCATCAGTCAACTTCTTATCACCAGAATCACCTTTGTCTTCCGGGCTGGTTACTTTGCTTCCCTCTACATGTTCATCCTTGCTTTTAACGATGTCTTCAGCTTCATTTACGATGCCGTTTATCTGGCTTTCTATATCAACCCGTTGCTCTTCCACACTGGGTTTTCTTCGTTTTTCGGACTCCTCGCTGTCTCTTGCCAGTTTCTGGGTTTCATCTTCTTTAGGTTCTTTGTCTTCCATAGAATCTTGTTGGATCACCTCTTTTTCAATGATTAAGTACTCTTCTTTCTCTTCAAGTTTCTCTTCGTCGATGGAAACGTCTTTTACTTTTCGTAAGTTTTCGTCATCAGCAGTGTCTTTTATCCCTTCTCCCTTCCTGAAAACAGCTTCGATTTCCTTTACAGCCTCCTGCTCTTCCTTTAAATCTGCCAGTTCCTGTGCTTTGAGTTGTTGGAGTTCTTCTGGCGTAAGTTTTGATATGTCCTTCTTAAGTACGCTTTCCTGATCTACGGAAGGAGTACTGACTGTACTAGAATCTGTGGTGCCTTCCTTGTCCAACCTCCCTTTTCTGGAAATGCTATCAGGTTTCTGTACTCCATTTACCAGTTTCTTAACAGGGCTGATAGGAGCTTTCGGGGCTTTGGGTCGTCTAGAAATTGGTTTTCGTTCGACTTTTGGTTTTGGTTCAGCGGAAGGTTTAGTAGGAGCAGCAGGAGGTTGTTTTACTTTGCTTTCTATCACTCGCCTGTTACTTGCGTCTTTAGCGCTTTTCGCGGGTGTTCCAATGGGTGATGGTTTAATAGGTCTCTTTACATCTCCGTTTTCGGTGGGAATCTGAGGAAGAAGGAAGATTGTTTGAAGCCTTTTTCTAAGATAAACCTTAATAATCCCAGTGATATTTCAGAAAAAATACTGAATTGTCAAGAATGCTAAGATATACGTACAGCATTTAATGCTAGTTGTCTCCGAAAAATTAATGAACATTATATTATAAATCGCTCATCTTACGTTTTATATGAAAATGCTACAATGGGCCAACTATTTATAATATACATGGTGACTTTGAAGTTGAGTCATTAATTTTCAGATAATGATTGTAGGAGGAAAACCAAAATATGTGTGTAAAAATAAAAAAAATTAAAAAAATTTTTTTACCTTGTTTTATAAAGTATCCCCCGACAAGTATTTCAGTGCGGACCTGTATTTGATCGTGAGGTCTTGGAGCACCGGCATGCCCTCCCCTGTGAGGTCTTAAGTCACCTGATTCACGAGCCCGTTGTACTACATTAACAAAGGCACGAGTGGTTGGTTGCACTCGATTGGGAAACCGATCCGCATGAATATGTGCCATTTTTTATTTCGTTTGAGCCACGCAGCAAACACCACTATTCACTCACGGGTTACCGACTGACACATTGACTGAATAAAAACATCGTGATCAGCGTTTCAAATTCTTGCGCTTTTTTGTTTCCGATGCGATGAACCGATAAGGTGGAGTATATCCGTTGTTGCCGAACACGAGCACATAATATTATTATTGAGACAGGGCGGTAAACAAACTTCTAAAGGGCTATAGCTTTGTTACTTTAATTTTACCACAAAAATGTTAAAGGAAAAAACATTTCTTTTGATCAGATCTACTCACTGTTAAAATAAATGACTCAACTTCGAAGTCACCCTGTATATATATATATATATATATTATATAAAAATATAAAAATCTAAGTACTTTTTAAATTATAAGCTTAAAATTTTGAGGGCTACTACGTTTAAATGCTCCATGTATCGGCCATCGCCACTCTGTAAGTGATGCGTTAACGATGGACCACGATGAGTAATGCAAATTTTGATGTCGGGCCTGTTATACTTTTAATGATGCATCAATCAGAAAAGGAACTACGATACCACTTTAAGCATCGACTTAAATATCTTGTTGTTTATTACCTTTTTGGGAGATGCCTTTTTATCGATAGGCTTTCTTCGTTGCTGAGAGTCACTTCTAGGCTTCATGGGTCTCGGTTTCGGCTTCGCCTTGTCACCATTTTCTATCTTGTGATCGTCGATCTTCTTCTGTTTTATACTTTTGTCGCTTTCAGTGGAGTCGGATTTCTTGACAGTTTTCTCTTTAACCTCTATGTTGACTTCGGTAATATTGTTTTCAATCATTTTATTCTCTTTCTTATCAGCAATAATCTTATCTTTATCTTTGGTGGCGATCCTTTCGATAAGTGCAGCCTTTTTGGTAGTTGTGCCTGCAAAACAATGGCTCATGTATTTCATGTTTACAGAATAAGGTGAAAATGTTATACAGGATTTTAATTAACTATACACCATAAATTTAATAGACGATTCTTTGAGTAATTTTAAGATTAAAAGATTCATATAAACATTGGTACGCAAATTCTCCGCAGTCGTTCTCAATATACAGGGTGATTAAAAAAATGATTATTAGAAAATATCCTTAAGATATAATTTTGCTATATTTTGGCGCTGATACTTATATACTACTAAGGATCTAATTTAGCTGTAACTTGATTAAATTCATTAAGTCCAGTGGCGTCTCTAGCGGGATATGAATGAATATTCGTGACAAAAAAATGTACACCACTGATAGTACAATTTTTGTTATGCTGTTTGGATTAATCAAATAGAAATACAACTTTACTTTTGGAAATTATTTTTTTATATTTTTTTTTTATTACCAATTATGTAGCTAAAACATTAACATATTAGTAATAAAAAATTGTTTAAAAAATAATTATTTCCAAAAGAAAGTTTCCCCCATATTCCTTGTATGGGGGATATGCAATAAAGTGGACTTTTTTTGTCGAATACTAAGAAAGATACGAAAAAGATTCAAGAAACGAAGAAGTTGTATCTCTATTTGCTAAGGACAAAGAATGTAATAAGACATGCAAAAAAGTCAGTAGCGTACATTTTCACACACATATATGTGAGGCATATTTGACATATTTACGAAAAACTTTTTTTAAAATTTTAACACCCTGTATTTTGAGAACGAAGAATTTCCGGACCTATGTTTATATGAACTTTTTATCTTAAAATTACTCAAAGAATCGTCTGTTGAATTTATGGTACATACTTAATTAACACAATGTACAGGGTGTCCGTAAAGTTGGGGTTTTCCTTTACACGACGTGTAGATCTTGAAAACATAAGCAATTTTGCTTAGTACCATATACACCAATGTCTTAAGGGAACCGAGATAAAGGGCTCTGCAACATCAAAAATATCTGAATACCGTCCTGTAGCCGCGACCCGCGATATCACCGACTGGTACAAATGGGTCGGGGTCAGTGTGTCAGGTCAGTATGCAACCTTGAACCGACGGTTACGGTCACGCGTGTATAGGTAAACGAACCCCTATAATCGATTGTGTTTCAAAAAACAACAAGCACTAGAGACGTGGCTAGAGAAGTGCAAGTATCAAAAACTAAAGTGTGGCAAACGCTGCGTGAAGAGGGGCTGTATCCGTTTCACGTCCAACGTGTACAAGCCCTTCAACCTGACGATTTTCCAGCAAGAGTGCGGTTTTGTGAGTGGTTGTTGCATCAACATGACAATAATCCGGACTTTTTGAAGTGCATATTGGTGACAGACGAATCTACGTTCACGCGTAATGGGGTGAATAACTTTCGCAACACTCATGTTTGGTCAGTAGAAAATCCGCACGCTGTCCGCCGGGCACATTTTCAACAAACATTTTCGGTGAATGTTTGGGCTGGCATGGTGAACATTAAGCTCATTGGACCATTCATTCTCCCAAATCGATTGGACGGGATGCAATACCTAGACTTTTTACGCAACATTTTGCCTTCTTTGTTAGAAGATGTGCCATTAAGTGTAAGACAATCAATGTGGTTTCTGCGTCTGCTCGGTAGCGCTTCAGCTGATTTCATTTTCTGTTGGAGCGGTATGATTTCGGCAGAGACGTACTTAGCCCTTCTCGTCAACTGCAGAGTGAGAACTTTTTCCTTTATTTTTTTTTACTTGGTCGCCCTCGTTTCACTACACATTACCTTTGTTATTTCAAGGACAGTTGTTTCTGAAAAGGAAAACCCCAACTTTGCGGACACCCTGTATATTTGTTATTTAAAATCTATTGTCACATACCGGACAGAGATTTCTCACTGCAAACGGCAGACTTGACAAACTCCAAACTCTTCAGTCTATCCAAGCCCTCGAATATCTTGGTTTGAGGACAGCTTCCAGGGAACAAGATCCTTGTGATAGTATCTTCGGGATCGGCAGGTTGCCAGACTAGCAAGGCAGCTATAGAAACTAGGTTCTGTAGGGGAAAACTAAACTCACGACTAGATTTTGCGTTGGCGAATAGTCTAACGTCACTCTGGTTCCACTTATGGAGGAACTCCCGTACTTCCTTTGAGTCCTTTGCCGGACTGAGGATGTACATGTCAAGGGTTCCATGGCCTACCTGAAAAAATCGGGATATTCGTTAGAGAAGAACGCCTAAGCCGATAATTGCAGAAGAATAATTATACCGTTAGGTAATTTTGAAACTGGACATGCTTGCCTTGATCAGCAAAACAGAAGGTATGAGCATTATAATATACGATGGATATCTGATATAACTGAACATATCACTGTTTATCAAGAATTATTTAACGGAAGAGAAACGTGGAATTCTTGGACCATCCATCATCCTAGGTCCTAACGATTTCTTTACTTTCCCGAAAATTAAAAACAGACTGTGTGGTCAAAGGTTCCAGTCTCCAGAAGAAGCAGTTGACGCATTCAAAAATGCCGTTTTGGATCTGCCAGCAAACGAGTGGAATAAGTGCTTCGAAAATTGGTTCGAGCGCGTGCAGATGTGTATTAATCTTCGTGGAGAATACTTCGAAAAACAATAAAGTCATTTAAAACTACCTACCGTGTTGTTTTATTTCCATACGCAAAACTTAAAAGACATCCAAGACATCAAAAATGCTTTTTTTCAGGAGAGGCATTTTTAATATTTTTTGAAGAACAATTTCAGATAACTGAAGATAAAGTTAATAATTTGGATTTAGAAAAATTATCAATTAAATAGGATTTATCGAACTTTCAGATTCATTGAATAAAAAAAATATCAGTATGTTTTCAAATATATTCCATTTTATCACCTTTTTTGCAACTTTACAGGAATGTGTCACTATTCCTCAAAAAATAATGCATTTCTAAAAAATATATGGCATATAATTCGTGGTTACAGAACAAAGAGGGAAAATTTATTTTAGTATTACACAGCTAACAACATTTTAAAGGCTATGTGGAACTAAATAATCAAGGTAAGTATAGAAAAAAAACAAATACAATACAAAAATTGGTTACAAATTATTGTAAAGTCCTGAGGGTATTATATTTTTTTTCACTAAATTAAGTAAGGCGCTTTTCTTTTTCTCGGAAATGGGAATATTACATTTGTATGCTTTATCTTTAACTCTAGGATCTCTTTTTGTTTCTCCGTTTTTCTTAGATTTTCAATAGGATCTTTTATCTAGCTCAACATTACGAAAATCAGTCTCACTGTATGAGTTTTTGTAGAAAAATGTTCCAAAATGTTGAAATATTACCCTTATTATTTTAACATCGGATAGTGTGAATGACTGATTTTCCGAGTTTTTATGTTGTAGGAAGATAGTCACAATGCACTTTATGTCACTATTCTTGATAACACGATCGCTTATTAGCGTACTTTGCTCTAATATGACGTTATTCTTAAGAAAAATGTAAGTATACGCTTTGAAAGTCAAGCTGCAAATGCAATATGACATTATTCACGACAAAACATTTGATATTAACGAACGACACTAGCGCCATCTCTGGCGAAAACTTTGAAACAATTGCAAATGTCTTTAATCCTGATAAAATAGTTAACATTTGGAGTGGATCTGCAATTTTAACTGATTTTTCTCGTTTTTTGGATAGCGTCACTATTCTTGAGAAGCAGCGATATGATGAACAACAAGGGGACTCACACGGAACCTTGAGGTACTCCGGATCAAAAATATTCGTTTAACGTTACTGCGTTATGAGCTAGCCCTATGAATTTGAATATTTTCAATAGAAGAAAATGATTCAGAGTATCAAGAGCACGGCTCAAGTCCAGCAATATTAATAAAGTAACGGGTGATTTTTTGAAGGGTATAGGATTTGATTTAAAAAAAAACACAAAAATTTGAAAAAACGATTAAATCTTTATTTGAGTCGATAGAACGGTCGATATAATTTAATGTTTAAATATTATTTCATGTAAATGTTGGCCGCGACTCCGCTTTAGATGGCCTATGCGCAAGGTCCAATTTTGGCACACTCTCTCCAACATATCGGCCGGTATCTCACGAATAAATGCTTCAATATTGGCTTCCAGTGCGTCAATCGTTACTGGTTTATCCCTGTAGACATTAGCTTTAACATGGCCCCACAAGAAATAGTCCAACGGCGTTAAATCACACGATCTAGACGGTCATTTGACGGGCCCCAAACGTGAGATAAACTGTTCACCGAACTCGTCTCTCAATAGGGCCATTGTTTCGTATGCGGTGTGGCATGTGGCACCGTCTTGTTGAAACCACATGTCAGCCAAGTCCAGCTCTTCCATTTTGGGTAAAAAAAAGTTTGTTATCATCGCACGGTAGCGCTCGCCATTCACAGTTACGTTCCGGCCATTGTCGTCTTTGAAGAAGTACGGCCCGATGATGCCACCGGCCCATAATCCACACCAAACAGTCATTTTTTCGGGATGCATTGGTAGCTCTTGCAATGCTTCTGACTGGTCTTCACTCCAGATGCGGCAATTTTGCTTGTTAACGTACCCATTCAACCAGAAATGAGCTTCGTCGCTGAACACAATTTTTCGATAAAAATGTGGATCTTCCTCCAACTTTGCCAGCGCCCATTCACCAAATCGGAAACGTTGTGGGAGGTCGTGTGGCTTCAAATCTTGCACCAGCTGTATCTTATAAGGTTTTACACCCAAAGCCTGTCGCAAAATTTTCCACGTAGTGGAGTAACAGAGGCCCAATTGCTGCGAACGGCGGCGAATCGACATTTCACGGTCATCACTAACACTGGCGGATACAGCCGCAATATTTTCTTCAGTCCTCACTCTACGTCTGCAAGGTGGTGGTTTAATGTCCAATAATGTAAACTGGGTTCTGAATTTAGTCACAAGCTTCCGAATAGCTCCCTTAGTAGGCCGACCAAATTGCCCATAAATTGGAAGCAGTGCTCGATGCACTCTCTTAATCGAGCATAAATTTTGATAGTAAAATTCAATAATTTGCAAGCGTTGTTCGTTCATAAGTCGATTCATGGTTAAATTATAGACCAAACTGAACAAGTTTGACAATAACACAAGACACGATTCACGCGTCATCTGTCAAAAACAGTGTTGCCAAAAATATACTAGCAAAAAAATCATCCATTATATCACATTGCAAAAGTAATGTATTAATGTGATGTTTGACATGTTACTTACCTTATGGTATAAATTAATGGGCTCGGAGTCTCTATAACAGACCTGAGGCGTTAAATGTAAGTGACGGAGGTTCGATACAATTTCTTGGCCTTCATCCAACAGATTTATCAGTAGGGGATCTCGGTCTTTGTCGCCATCCGGGCTCAAGAGTGCTTTTCTTTCCTGAAATAGAACATGATGCGTTTTACTGGAATGACGACAAGACTTGTTACATATGTAGGGTTCGATCGACTGTAAGGAATTTATCTGTTTGAGCGAATTTTAGAATCTTGCTGATAGTTCTATTTTTATGACTGTATCCGGCTTATATTCTTATACACGTAATGCTAGCTTGTATCGGGTATATGCACTTCCTCGGAGAAAATTTCCATTTTTATCCTCCGCTGTTAAAACCTGGTAGACTAGGTGAATAGGGGGGAGCTGAATGCTATTATGACTATAAAAAATGTGAATTCATCTCCGATTTGTTCCGGCGTGCCTCAGGGATCCATATTAGGTCCACTTTTATTCCTTATATACACCTTTGATATTTCTAACACCCTTCAACATTGTTCTAGTCAATCATATGCTGAAGATATGCAGGTTTTTCATAATTTTTGTCCGAACAACTACCATTTAGCTAACAACCTTATCAATCAAGATCTGCAACACTTATGCACATATGCTGCAAAACATAATTTACGTCTAAACGCATCGAAATCGACAGCTATACTCTTTTGCTCCAAGAAAAAACGTACTTTCCTCAAATCAAAGTTAAATTTATCACTAAATAATAGTATCCTAATATTTCCCCATTCTGCAAAAAATTTAGGGATGAAGATTTCAGATTTCAGGAGCATGTTGGCTATGTGTGTTAGTCTAGTTATTTTAGACTCAGGCTTCTATATCCAAGTAAAACTGTTTTAAATAGAAAAATTAAGAAAATGTTATGCGAGTCACTCATACTCAGTAAAATCGCTTACTGCAACATAGTTTATTATCCCTGTCTGGATGAAATCACAAAATACAGACTGCAAAAAATTCAAAACTCATGTAGTCGTTACATAAACAATTTAAGAAGGTCCGATCATGTTTCTCACTCAATATCTTCAATGAATTGGTTGAAAATTTCTAATCTTTTCAAATACAACTTTGTTACATTTGTCGTAAAAATATTAAAAACTTCTGTTCCGGTTTATCTTATGCAAAAGCTTGTTCGTAGGAATTTAATTCACAATTTGAATACGCGCAACATTAATCTCCTGACAATGCCACAACATAGGACAGCCATTTTTCAACGGTCTTTTACGTATAATGCGGTGAAATTGATCAACTCTTTCGAACAATGTTTCATCAGCAACTTTTATAAAAAAAAATATAAGAACTACTTATTGAGCTATTAGGTTATTGTCTTCTCTTTGAATCGTACGTATTATGTTTTTTGTTCTAATCGTACGCATTATGTCATATTTATTAATTCTTCTTTTACTATTATTCTTCTTTTTCCTTATTTTTTTCAGTTTTTTATTTTATTTTTAAGGTAGTAATAAGCATTGACATGACATTTATGGTTAAGTATAAATGGCCATTGGCCAGACTTCGCCATTTGTAAGGATACATAATTATGTATGTGTTACAATAAAGTCCATTGAATTGAATTGAATTGAATCTCCGTGTTTTTCTGGTCGATAAATGAAACTACGGATGTTGGAAAAAATTGTCGGCTACCTCGGTGGTCTTTTTCAAAGTACAACAAAATAAACGAGTTTTTGGCGAGCAAAAACATTCCTGTGGGTCCTAAGCCTCCTTATTCGCCCGACTTGAGCTCTGGTGAATTATTACTCTTCCCGAAGTTGAAAATTCACCCCAAAGGAACTGATTTAGGTTCAGTCGAAAACAAAATGTTTCCTTACAAAAATTCGGGCTGTTGAAGTTTTAGGAAAAAATGGAAATTAATTAATATTGTCAGAACCGCTTCAGATATTGTACTGATATTTAGTACGTAGTGAAAGTTATAAAAGTTTTTGTAAGGAAACATTTTTTGACCATAGTTTATGAAGTAAACTAACATTAATTTTTCATGTAGATTCACATCCTCAAATATTCGCATATCATTAAGGAACACCGTTTCATCATTTAATTTACAGCTCTCTTGGATAGAAAACCTTGATACCAAGATTCTAAAGACAATTTTTGGAGATAGGATAATTCCGATATGTTTTTTGATAGATACTCTCGAAGGAAAAATAGCGTCTTAACAATTGCTTAATATTTATGTTTCGCCGCTGAAAGTCCCTGTTGACGAATAAAAAATAACAGACATTTAATGGTAAAGTAAAATGGAATGCTTAGATTTTTGATTTTATCTGGGTGAGTGATGATTCTAATAACTGAAAATCGTGCAACTGAATCACTATGAATGGCTTGAAACTCACTATGTCGCAGCATAAAAGCAGCAGCTTGATTTGAATGTGCGTTTTCCATCTCAGATGAATAATACAAGAGAATAGGTGAAAACGAGAGCTGGCAAGGCAGAGTCGAAAAATACGCCAAATCCAATTACTAAATTTTCGTTGTTTTTGCTTGATCGTTCAGTTAATGGTAACCCACCGATTAACATTAGCCAATTATCAAAATTTAATAATAATAGACGTCTTTATTTATTTACAATGACATTGCAATGCAGCTAAGGTTCACCTTAAATGGCGAAATTTAGCGTTTGTTATTCTTACATTCAACCATAAAATTCACTAGTAATAAATGATAATGATAATAATGAAATATTTTCGTAACAAACTTAAATTTTTAATAATACATTATTACAATAAAGCGCAAACTGGCATCATACTTTCCAATACAAAGTACACCAAACAGTAGGAGAGCGAAATAAAAAAGTAGTGATGATTTCATTTTTTGTCGAAAAGTTGGTTATGAGTATTGTTTATCCAATTTTGGTAAAGAATTATATATGGTGATAACATGGTAAGAGAAACTGTGTTGAAATAGGGTTGTTGAATACTGAGGTATCCTGAGAATTTTCTCTAAGTGGTCTAGAATGAATATCATTGTTAAATACATTTTTTGAGCGCCAGTAAGGCGGTTTAGACGTAAGTAATAATTTATGGATGAAGGCTGAGTAGTGATGTTCAACCAAATCATTTATTTTCAACCAATTAAGTATTGGATATCTTGCTGATACCTGAGTCCAAACACAATTATTTCGGATGATTTGAGTTAAGTTTTTGATACCTATAGCTGTTTGAATGGATAGTATACTATATTACTGTCATTTAGAACAGATTTGACCGAGGATTCATACAGGGTGGCGTATCGAAAACGAAACAGACGCATTTACTGGCAGGTCAGTTTTTTTTTTTTTGAAAAAACGCTCAGACCCGTCTATTTTGTTTTCGAGGGGGACACAAGTTTAGCAAAAAATCACGTTAGCACGTGCAGCCCCCTAAGCAGGGGTGACACCACCCCCAAAATCTTAAATGGAAAGGGGGGTCGAGTGTTACCTTATTTTAAAGGTGTTTCAATTCGCTTTATAATGATATAAAATTAATGTACTTCAGTTTAGTGGTTTTGAAGATTTACTGATTTAAAGCTTGAATAAAACTAATACATCATCATTAGTGGAGATCAATACATTTGGCGGCAAAGTAATTTAAAAATCAAGAATGAACTGACCCGTAAGGCAAGTAAATGTTGAAAATGGCTACCACGACTCTCCATGTAATAATAAAGATTTTGCTCAAAACGTTGCCGCACATTTTGCAATATTTGAGGAGTAATTTGAAGGCACACATGCACAATTTTTTGTCACAGGTCTTCTAATGATGAGTAGCATAGATTTTGCTCTTTAAATGACCCCACATAAAGAAATCCAAAGGTGATAACTCTGGCGATCTTGGGGGCCATTCAATGGCACCTCTTCTACCAATCCATCGATCTGGAAACGTCTGATCTGAATATTGTTGAACACGTAATGCGTAATGTGGTGGGGCACCATCATGTTGGAACATCAACCTATTCACAATGTACCGCCGATCATTCTGATTTTCAATTATGGCTGTTAATGCAGGATCTATGGCGTCTTCCAGTAATTCCAAATACATTTTACCGGTCAAATTTCCAGGTAAGAAAAAAGGACCAACTAAATGATCGCCAAACATACCAGCCCAAACATTTAATTTTTGTGGCTGCTGTGTATGAACCTCATGATAAATTCTGGGATTAGAATCGGACCAATATCGGCAGTTATGACGATTTACTACGCCATTTAAGAAAAATGAACATTCGTCGGAAAAGCAAGTGTTGAATAGAAAATGTTCATCGTTTATAATTCGTTCACTCATATCTCCACAAAATTGTAATCGCCGATCAAAATCGTCTTCATTAAGTTCTTGTACCAGGTAAATTTTATACGGATGAAAACTATGGACCTTCAGAATCCGTTGGACAGTACGTCGACTAACACCACACACAGTCTCCAATTTGCTGGTACTTAACGTAGGATCTACATAAACTTGCCCTAAAACCCCCACTTCTATTGCTTCGTTCCTTATGGGATTTTCAATGTTGCGTTTTTTATTGGCGACTGACCCAGTTTCCCGAAATTTAGCTACAAGTTCTAGAACATATTTTCGATGCACGTTACTGTTCTCATGTCGCTCATTAAATATTTCTGCTGTTCTATTAGCGCACTGATCATTTCCAAAAAATATTTCGATAATTTCAACTCTTTCTGCCGTGGAATATACCATGGTTAATTTATGTAATAAAGCGTTACAAGTTATTTTAGCAACAAAGTTTGGTCAAATCAATCGCAAACTATGTATTAAATTCCTATTTAAAATAAGTACGAGATATTTCCATATCTTTCTTCAAGATATAACTTTTTTGCCACAAAGAAACGCTCCAATAGCTATTTTTTACTTATCAAGTAAATTCTTTTAGTCAAATTTCTTCTGAGAGTAGTACAAACTAATCTGATGTACCTATTAAAGTCTACTTTAAGCTTTAAATCAATAAATCTTCAAAACTACTGAACTGAAGCTCATGTATTTTACATCATATTGAAGGGAATTGAAAGACCTTTAAAATAAGGTATCACTCGACCCCCCTTTCCATTTAAGATTTTGCGGTTGGTGTCACCCCCGCCCAGGGGGCTGCACCTGTTAACGTGATTTTTTGCCAAACTTGTGTCCCCCTCGAAAACAAAATCAATGGGTCTGAGCGTTTTTCCAAAAAAAAAATCTGAGCTGCCAGTAAATGCGTCTGTTTCGTTTTCGATGCGCCACCCTGTATAATTTTTTGCTTAACTTTAAATTTAGTAGATATTTGTTTGCACTCGATATTTTTTCTGCTAAAGACTTTTGACGTGTTCGATAAATCTTAAGTTTGTCAAAAACAACACCAAACATTTTTGCAGATTCGGAAAACTGTACGTTTTGATTACTTTTTTGGACCCTCAACAGTGGCGTTACGTCAACCTTGGGCACAAACAACATTTTAGACTTTAGAGGACTGTGAATATTTCTTTTTCCGGTAATCTTTGACGGATGGATCTCCCCCAGTTCCCTCCGCCCTGTAAATCCGCTACAGAGAAAGCCTTTCAATGTATTATGTATCTTCTTTCCAACCACACCGAATTGCATAGAACGTACCTGCAAGTTACAAAAGAAATGTCCAATTTGCGGGTAAAGGGCGTCCTGTTTCTTCCTCCTCAATACAGAGCTAATTCCTCCTACGTTACTATTATTCAGTCTTGTCATAAGCACAGCATCTAATCTATCTAAGTGACGGACGAAGTCCCAAAAGCACGCCTTTCTGCCATAACCGCCATCCAGGAGCATGTTAAATCCGTTAATCCCAAATAGCGCTGCATCACCTGGAAATCGAAGAAAAGCTCAGAAAAAAATAATCATTTAGTAAACAATTCTTATAGTTTTTTTTTGTAAAACGTACTAATAAAGATCTGTCAAATGAATTAATTATTTTCATCGCATTGTAAGTATAAGAGCGTTGGAGTACGTGTACGTGTACTTCCCCTATCCTCTAATTTTTTTCCATTTGACTCTAGCAGTTATGAAATGTCTGGTAACTTTTCAACAGTATTATCACAAATATACTGAGTGACCAAAAAAGGTAAACACCTACGGATGTTTATTAGAATACAAGGATTTTTTACATATATATATACAGGGTGTCCCAGAAGTCGACGACAAGCCGAAACCGGGTGATAGTCATAACAGCTATCAGAAAAATATTTAAAAAATTTTTATGTATGTGTTTTGAAAATTATAGGTCTTTGAAAAAGATATAGAAATTTCACACCCTACGGCAGTCTGTCAACTCCTGTTACTACAAATATTAACTTTTTTTGGATTTCATTTTTACAATGTAATGATGAATAATGCATCTTCAAACTGGTGTCTCAACCTTACTGCCAACTTTTCTCGTTCAGGAAAAATTGCCACTTATTTCCCAACCAAGTATTCCAAAGTAAAACTTTGCTCAACTTTAACTGGCTGTACTGGAAAAAATGTACTACGAGAGTTTGGCAAGTAACCTTAAAAGTTTGAGCATTTAATAAAGATTCCAAAATGGTATAACACTTAGAAGATTACTCGTTAACTTATGCACAATTTTTATTTGAACAAAAACTGCTGAAAATTTTCCAAAATTTCCTAATTAAACAGCGATTATGAAAACGCACAAGGACCCTTAAGGATAACTGTTTGCACAACAGTGGCCGTCAAAATGCTGCTGATGATGATTTACCTTTACAGCAAATGCTCAAACTGTTTTCCTTCAGCCGCAATACACGCTCGACATCTTCTTAAAAAAGATCGGGTTATTAAACGAGCGAATGTACGGTTATTAACAAACTCAGCTGCTTCCAATAGTCTTTGCCGTAGCTCAGCTACATTTTGAATCGGCTTGAAATACACTTTTTCTTTTACAGTTCCCCAGTAAAAAAAATCTAACGGATTCAAATCTGGTGACCGGGCTGGCCACGGTATTGTACCAGACCGCCCTATCCATCTGCCTGGAAAGTTTTGATCGAGATACTCTCTCACTGAGAGTGCATAGTGCGCTGGGCAGCCACCATGCTGAAACCACATATCCCTGTAAATACTCAGTGGCACGTCCACCAATAAATTTTGTACATGATTTTTCAAAAAATCCAAATAAACTTCAGCAGTCAAAGTCTCTGGGAACTCAAACGGACCGATTATTTTACCATTTAAAATTCCTCTCCAATGGTTTATCTTGAAGCGATATTGAGATTTATCTTCTCTCATCAAATGTGGGTTTGCTACGTGCCACTCGTGTAAGTTATGCAGGTTCATGTACCCATCTATCTTAAATGTGGTCTCATCCGACCATAACATTTTTTCAAAGAACTGTGGATCTTTCCTGTGTCTTTCTAACATTGTGCGACAAAAAGCAACTCGGAGCTCATAATCCCGGGGCAGGAGAGGTTGAACACGCTGTATGTGGTATGGATGAAGCACATCACTTACTTGCTATTGTACACTTTGATACCGATCAGTACTCCTTCGTTTACTGCGCATCTTTACATGTTCGTGCTTGTTGATTTCGTTCTGTTACTAATTTTGGATTCGTGAACTGGACTGTTTAATTGCTCTTCAAAACAACATTTGCTTTCCTTAGACTATCTTTGATAGTGTGATTGTGCAGTGCCGCTATGTCCGTGTACACCGTACAAGAATATGCTAACATGAACCTCATTTATGGGGAATGCAGATGCAACGCTAGTGCTGCAGCGAGACTTTACTGTGAGAGGTACCCGAATGCAGCTCGTCATCCAGATCATCGAGTGTTCACAAATGTGCACCGCTTACTGTTCTCAGAGGGCTAACTACCAAACCAATCACACGGTGAGGGAAGATCTTTCCTTCCTTACGAAGACGTGGTGCTAGGAGCTGTCGAAGAAGACCCGAGTACTTCAGTGCGTGCAATAGAACTAAAAACAGGTGTGCCCAAAAGTACAGCCCATAGAATCTTGCAAAAACACGTGCTCCATCCATACCACGTACAGCGTGTTCAAGCTCTTCTGCCCCGGGATTATGAGCCCCGAGTTGCTTTTTGTCGCACAATGTTAGAAAGACACAGGGAAGATCCACGGTTCTTTGAAAAAATTTTATGGTCAGATGAGACCACATTTAAGAAAGATGGGTACCTGAGGAAACGAAGTTGGAGGGAAAAAAAGGTTACACCCGTATCCGGATGTGTGGGCATGTGTATCTACTTTTGTAGTTTCATATGTGCATTCATTTCGGGCCTGATGAAGCCAACCAGCAGAAATACGTATCGCTCGGGTTACCTATCCCATTTTCTGCTCGAATCCACTTTCCTCCTTTTTGCGGATTTTGCCCATTATTTTCCTACTTGTTGAGATATATATATTTACAAGTGATAAAATGGTCAGATTGGTCTCGATACATCGATGTATCGAAACAACTCTTCTTTTTAACGTTTTCTGCTTTCAATTCAGCAACGAGTTAATTCATCGATTGCTATCGGTTTTAGACCATTCCATTTTATCCGTTGGTGGAATTCTCACCGCGTTTTTCTTTCTCGATTTCAGAACCATTAAGTAAGAATAAAAAACGCGACAGCAACTTCACGATAGGATAAAAGAAGGATACCGACTGCAATATATTTCAGTAAAAAAGTATGATTATAGGAAGCTGCAATATACAAGATTGTCAAAATTAAGAACACATCATTAAATACTTTACACTGACTTGAATTCTTCTACTCATCAGGGTAGGCCGGGGGCCTTTTGCCCAAAAATCACTGAGGTTCTAACTGGCAGAAAAGCGAATCTCTTTAACAAAAATTGCCAAAGATAGATTATACAGTGATGAAAATTATATGACAAAAGTAGCCAATGTAAAGAAATAAAAATAAATCATAGTTTTTGATGTTCAGATTGTTAAAGAAGTGCTAATCTAGGTCTTTTGCGTTTGTGAATGGATGCAGGATCTTATGTCACCGCATCTCTTATTAAAGTATTTGAATGTGAAGTTGCACGTTCGTAACTTCTGCTTGCAATTTGCTTAATGAATTGTGCACAAGTTTTTAAAGTACTTCAACACATCAATTTTTCGTGGCATTTTGATTAATTAACAATAAAACAGCGACACTACAACTATTTTCATTTCAATGCAAAATAAGTCTATAACGCATAGGTGGCTGTGAAAAATAAAAGGCATGGCAATTGTTTTTATTAATCACAGCGGTCAGAATACGTTTAAAATAGTTTTTGGTAGTTAAGGTTTTCAAAATGGGTAGAGGAAAGGTTATTAGTGAGAAAATTCGGTTACTGATAATTAAATTTTTTAATTCTGGGAAATCAAACTCAGAAATTGCAACTTAGTTAGACTTATCTCGGTACAGTGTGAGAAATATTGTTAGAAAATATAACGGAACTGGTTCAGTTAATATTACGCTACGATATGTGAAAAAAAGTAATATCACAAATGCCGACCGAAGAGCATTAAGAAGAATAATCGTGAAAAACAGGCGTGCCAATTATTTACAATTAAGTGCTCTGTGCAGTGACGCTGTTGGAAGGAGAAATTCGAGGTCCACAACTCATAGAGAGGCTCACAAACTGGGATTTAGCACTTGCAAGGTAAGTTTTCTTATAAAAAAAAAGTGAAGTAAAAACCACAATTTGTTTATAGGCCAAAGAAAAGCCGCTATTAACTCCACTGCAAAAGAAAAATCTGCTTAGATGGGCTAAAGAACATAGATGGACACCTCAACAATGGTGTGCAATACAGTGGAGTGATGAGGCCCGATTCGAAGGTTGTGTTGGTGACAGGCGCAATAGAGTTATTCGCAAAAAAATGAAGCATTCCATGTTGACTGTCTGAAGAGAAAAGTGAAATTTCCAGCATCCATTACGGTCTGGGGCAGTATGTCGTCAAAAGGAGTAGGAAAACTTCATTTTATTGATGGAAATGTGGATACAAACAAATATTTGACAATTTTAGAAGAATCGCTTTTACCAGTGATGGAAGAATGTTTGACATCTGGCCAAGATTTTGTGTTTTAGCAAGATGGTGCAGCGTGTCATACCTCAAAAAAGGCTATAAAATGGATGGAAGAAAATAATGTACCACTTTTGAAATGGGTTTCTAGCAGTCCAGATCTGTCACCTATTGAAACTTTGTGACACGAGATGAAAAAGGTTCTACCACAACATCCTGCTCGTACAATCACCGAACTGAGACAAAAGCTTCAGGAAATATGGGATTGTTTTAAACCAAATTTTTGCCAAAACTTGGTTAACACTATGCCCCAAAGGATTTCAGCCGTAATAAAAATTAAAGGTGATGTTACCCAATGGTAATCTTTCAATTGTTGCTCTGTTAACTTCGCGCATTTATTCGAACATTATTTATTTGTTCAGATGTTCTATTAGTTATAGGTCTAAGTGATTTCAAATATGTATTTTATACGACTAGAGTGTATATAAAATGTTTTTGAGAAAACAAATTGTTTTAGAATAGTTTCATCTTGTTTAGTTTATAATGGTATATTTTGGTACAAATCTTGAAGTGGGCCAACTGAAGTGGGAAGGGGCTCGTATATATATACAGGGTGACTTCGAAGTTGAGTCATTTATTTTAACAGTGAGTAGATCTGATCAAAAGAAATGTTTTTTTCCTTTAACCTTTTTGCCGGTAAAATTAGATTAACAAAGTTATAGCCCTTTAGAAGTTTGAGTACCGCCCTGTCTCAATAATAATATTATGTGCTCGTATTTGGCAACAACGGATATAATCCGCCTTATCTGTTCATCGCATCGGAAACAAAAAAGCGAAAGAATTTGAAACGTTTATCACGATGTCAGTCAATGTTTCAGTCGGTAACGCGTGAGTGAATAGTGGTGTTTGTTGCGTGGCTCAAACGAAATAAAAAATGGCACATGTTTACGAAAATGCTGAACTTGTGGACATGATTCTTATTTAATCGAGTGCAACCAACCTCTCGTGCCTTTGTTAATGTAGTACAAAGGGCTCGTGAATCAGGTGACTTAAGACCTCACAGGGGAGGGCATTTTGGTGCTCCAAGACTGCACGAACAAATACAGGTCCGCACTGAAATACTTTATAAAACAAGGTAACATTTTTTTTAATTTTTTTTTATTTTTACACACATATTTTGGTTTATCTTCCTTCTACAATCATTATCTGAAAATTAATGACTCAACTTCAAAGTATATACAGGGTGGCCCATCCATGTGTGGACCTAATATCACTCATAAACAAATACATTTTAGGGAAATCTATTTATGGCATGTTATACATGACGTTTGAGGACACATTTCTAAAATATTGGCAATTATTCAGGGTGGCCCAATTTTGACCTACATAAAGTTGTGATTTTTTAAATGGAATGCCTCAAACTTTATTGTATATTTGGATAGACCAATTAAAATGAGATATATCATACTATGGGGTTTTGGTAATTAGCTACTGAGATGTAAGGTGTTTTGTCCAGTAAAATCGTCCACTTCGGTAACCCCTCAATCAGCCATTTTGAAATTTGGAGTGCTGAATTTTGTATCAGGAAAAACTTACACACCTCAGCCTTTAGCTTATTTGTTACTTTTTCGAATTTTCATTTTTGCTCATACAGGGTGGTCAAAAACGCAAATCACCCTATCACGCTGCGGCCTAATTCCCGAGTGCTTTTATCTGCATTGATTTCCACGTAACCACAGTAAACACTTAGTTGATAAACAGTCAATAATGATGGTTGTCGTTTTAAATTTATATTGAAATAAATCCCCACGACTGTGCTCAAAAGGAGAACATATTGCCTAATTATTTTTTCTTTATAAACTGTTGACGTGGAGGAACGTTTTCTATACAGTACAAATATACTTTTTTCATATTCTTGTTTTTATGCCTATAAATGCCAAAAGTGTACCATTTTTGTTTTTAAAAAAAAATTTACTATTTTTATTATATTAAAGACGAAAGGCTTCAATCAAGCGGTTCGAAAATTTGGATTTTACAAAAAATAATAATTTCGACTTTGATCGATTCAAAGAAAATGAAACTTTAAAATAATCATTTTTTGGCTTGATAGAAGACGTTTGACCATCTATCTTTTAAATCATGCGTTTCTGTGTTATTGTTAAACATGTCTTATTGTTATTTAGATATTTGCCCAAAAAGGATTTTATTTTGAAATTTTACTTAGTTCATATAAGAAAGGTCAACAAGATGTGCTGAAAGTCTCACAAGGTGGCTTCGAGAAGTACATAACTCGGTACATCCGCTTATCTCAGAAATCAGTCTATGTATAATAGTATTAAATACAAGAGTTTTGCGGTTAGAAGCAAACTTTCAATTGATTCCATTTTTGTATATGCAGTTTTGCCAGACAGATATTTTATTCCATTTTCGGATTCTGTGAATAACTTACATTCAATTCAATTAACTTTATTAAAAAATAATAAAAATATGCACCAAGATTGAGATTTATTTCTTGGCAACTTCCTTGATAGATATAGGACTGTATTCTTCTTTATTTCAGTTCATCATATACAAGGTGCTTAAAATTCACATTTGACATTAAGGCCACACTCTGCCTGTTTGGAGGAAGATACCTATTTCATGGTGTGTATAGAGATGACTGAAGACGGTGTTATCAATTTTTTGTAAAAAATTCAGTTTTTGAGCATCTTTCTTCAGTCGTCACTTTTAACAAATAATAGTACAACTATGAAATTGTATGTGGATACTCCACTTTTATAGTATAATTGAGCGGGTAATTACTTCTTTCTTACCATTTTTTTTTTGCAAAAAAATCTTTACTTTTCTTGAAAACCCTCTATAAGCCCCACGGTACCCAATGGGAGCTTAGGCCTTAGGCCTTCGTGGTAGTTGTGGAGTATAAAAAGTAAAATGTGTTTCACGAGTGCGAATTTTACTGGGCTGGCCCCAAATGTCCTTCTGTCTAGGTGTACCCGTTGGCGAAATCTGTCGCGATAAATTTGAGCTGCGAGATTTGAATTCTGACGAGCTTCACCGTAAACTAACAACATGTCGGCGAACTCTTGATTCGAGAACGTTGTACATAAACACGACGACGTACGCGAGCAATAACTAACCACTGTTACCGTTTGCGATCGATTGCCGGTTCGATAAGAGTGATGAATATTTAATTTAATGAAACTTACTTACGTACTGACTACAAATTTTGGCTTAACTTAGAAAAACTTAATGCCATTTATTTGTTAATTACCCAATTTAAAACGTTTTAGATTAAATTATAAAAATTAGTAAGATTGTGGCGATTGTGGTCGATATAAAGCACTTAAACTTGTAAACTATTATGCCATTTAGACAAAAATCTATTGACTTTTGGAACTTTTTAACTTGTTTGGACCCCCCCTATTACCCACTTCAATAATGACTACCATAACGTGCACACCCGTGCATACTAAAGTAATTTTAAAGAGAGATTTCTTAAGGCAGAAGAAATATAAAATGCAACAGTTACCTTGGCCTCCTGGGAATACATAGAGCGTTGGTCTGGAAAACCTGATGTTACCGACGACGTCTGAACTTTCGAGAAGACTTTCAAGCGACGTGGGTATCAAAAACGGAGAGATATAGTTGATAAAGTTGTTAATGGCCGGAGAACCTGATGTTAGCACATCAGACGGGTTTAACCTAACCTGAAAAATAAGATAACTATGTAGATGATACAAAATCTACCCTCATGTGCCTGCTATTTTTTTTGTAATACATCTTAGTTTGTTTTGAATGAATTAAGATTAAACCTAGAATTGAATGGGTAAAATCAATGACCTCATACCTGTATATCCTATGCCAGGAGTAAAAAGTTACTGTATCAAAATCAAAAATTCACAGCGTTTAACCTATCCAACAAGGGATTTTCGTTTGGTAACCCAGGGTCAATTTGTTCAAACAATTTTTAAACATATCACAAAATGTTTTTTTAGCTCCGAACGATAAATGTTCTTAGTGAAATTTTTCCAAAATTATAGCGTTTCCGAGTTATAATCGATTCAGAACCTAAAAAGACTAAAGTGCCAATATCCAAATAAAAGTATAAACATTCCCCTACAAGATCGCGGAAAAAATTTACGCCTACAGTATATTCAGATAAGAGATAGACCGGATGTAAACAAAAGGTTCGGGTGATTTTCACGCTAACGCCGCCGTCTCGACGTAAAACAGGAGCCCTCATTGGTCAATTCGCAATTAAATGCCTATGCCGAGCGGCAGAGCAGTCGTATCAAGGCAGAGTCACATTCAGGTTCAGACGTGTTACGTATGTCGTGTGCATCATTGCAATTTGATATTTCTTTGGACGTTTTCGTTTGTTATCTTATTAAGTTGTTGAGTTTGTCGTTGTTATTGTTATACCTTGTTATTGATTGTTATTGTTATCAACTGCTTGCGCAAAATGCCCAGTAGTACAGATACTGCCGATGAAGTTGTAAACTCCTGTAGTCCACCTAGGAAACGCTCTAAAAAAAGACACCTGAGTGCAGAAATGAAAGAGGTCATTTTGAATATATATAAGATCGAGCGCGAGGAGAACGAGGCATCAACCATCAAAGAAATTGTTGTGAAGGTTTCTCACAAAGTTGGGGTGTGTCGCGCATCAGTGTTTAATGTGTTAAGACAATACAAAAAAAATCACACCTTTTCTGAGCCAATGACCAGTAAACATCGCAAAAGTATTGTTAAATCATTGGATGAAGCTGATAAGCATGCGTTTAGGAGGAAAGTGCATGAATTCTTCTTTAGGAATGAAATACCTACTATAGATAAAGTACTGCAGGAGATAAATGGAGATACAACGTTGCTAAATTTCAAACGATCAACTTTCCATGCGTTACTGAAGCATTTAAATTTCAAATGGAAAAAACGGGTCGTAATAGTTTACTACTGGATAGAGAAGAAATTGTGCTATCGAGGAGGGATTATTTAACAAAAATTGGGAAATATAGAAATCAAAACAGGAAGATTTATTACCTTGATGAAACGTGGGTAAACGCAGGACACACTACAAGTAAAGTATGGGTTGATGATTCTGTAACTTCATCCAGGAGGGCCTTTCTAGATGGACTGTCCACCGGATTAAAAAATCCAGCAGGTAAATACGAGTAATAGACAACAATCGGATGTTTTTCAAACCTTGGGAACAAGGTTATAAACATTAATTCCAGGGGGCAGATAAAACATATTACAAGTAACAAAACTTTTATAACTTTCGATAAAATGCGTGGATGTTTTATTGTCATTTTCATTTGTTAGAACTTTTTTAAGCCATGTTTTTATGTGTTTTCGATATTTCAATAATTTTTTAACATAATCTTAAAATATGTCGAATATTATAAACTTAAAAAAAGTTACTAAGTTTTATATTGTGTACCGTTCCTAATATTTCTAATCATTTTAATTCCTACTTTAAGCTTTATAAAGTTATAATTTGTTAATATTAATATTTGCGCGTATTTCAGGTTCCTGATCATTCATTTTTTAAAGGTTTATAACTTTAAATTAAATTGTGAAGCGCTGAGTAATCATACGACGTTCAATATTCTTTCTTTCAATATGACTAAATAATCCCAATTATAGCAATCTGATACTCATGTCTCAATGTTTTTTCGCTGAATGTGATGAAAACATTTGAAAAAGGTTCGCTTATTGAAATAAATCTACACCAGTTAGTACTTCGATTTCCAGGTAAAGGGAAAAAAAGGCTCATTATCTGCCATATTGGCAGTGAGGATGGATTTGTTGTTGACGGTCTGTGGTGCTTTGAGTCTAAGAAAACTGGAGATTACCAAGAGGAAATGAATGGCGAATCGTTTGAACAGTGGTTTTCAAAAATTTTACCGAACTTAAAGGAAAACGCAGTAATTGTGTTGGATAATGCGCCTTATCATTCTCGAAGAATGGAGAAGGTCCCAACAACGGCTTCAAGGAAAGTTGATGTTCAAAATTGGCTCCGCTCGAAAAATATCAACTTTGAAGAAGCAATGCTGAAAGTACAATTATTAAGAATTGTCAAGGATCACAAGGCGGAATATCAAAAATACGCCATTGACGAAATGGCAGCAAGTCAAAATAAAACTGTGCTCCGTTTACCTCCATACCATTGCGAGCTCAATCCCATTGAGCTCATATGGGCAGAGGTTAAAAATTATATAGCTAAGCACAGTACAACTTTTAAATTTTGTGACCTCCAAAGGACTTTTCAAAGAAGCACTACAATTAATAACAGCGCAAAAATGGGAAAACTGTATTAAGCACGTGAAAGACAAAGTTGAAAAGAGAATGTGGGAACTGGACAATATTTTAGAGGAACAAGTCGAGCCATTCATTATTGACGTTGGTGCTTCAGGCAGTAGCGATGATGAAAGCTCATCAAGCTCATCTTTCCAATAAAAGATGTCGTTCATCAAATTCGGTAAGTTATAAGTCATTATAAAGCTACTGTATTTTTTAATTAATTATTGACATTTTTGAACCCATTTTGACAAAACCTATTCAAGAATCTACTTTCTGACAATGTTCAACCATGCACATTTTTTTACGTTTTGAACGTTTTAATTTGGTTACATATTTACCTAGAAATCAAAAAATATACTAATCAATATTCTAAAAGCAATTTTAAGAGATATACGATTATTTTTAATTTAGGCTAAATTAAACGTCATTCTGAGATTATATTCGACTGTATTTCACCAAACATCAGGCGGCATCCGAAGCTGGAAATCGAAGCGAAAATTTTGAAACCCTTATGTATATTTACATCATTATAGATTTCTTACCCCACCCCCACATGATCCTATATCCATCACCAATCGTATACACATCGAATTGTGCTAATTTGCTACAAAGTTACGCAAAGCAGCATCTACTATCTAAAATATGTACTGCGTGACTCTTAAAACGTCCCTGCCGAATGTTACAGCGTTCGATGATCACGTGGTCTTGTTTATGTCCGGTCTATCTCTTATCTGAATATACTGTAGTTTATTTTAATGCAATTATTGAGCTTGCTTGGTATGCTAATAAGAGGCCCCTAAAGTTGTATATAAAAGTTATATAGTCTAATATGAAGTTTTTCATGTAATATATGTATACAGGATGTCTCAGAGAAGTTTTTTTTAAACGAAACACCCTGCATATTTTCAGAGAAAGTGAGATTCACTTTTTTCTGATTCCAAATATACATAGTTTGTTGAACTTATTCACAACTTTATTAAAAGACTTGAAGTTCGTGTCTCATTTAATTCAATCACACTAATGAAAATAAGTATGATAAGCCATATTCCTGACTTGGAAAATATTTTTATCTCTATAGACGCATAACTACGTGGTGGCCCAAACATACATGTTTCTAAGCTAACCTTACAACATATATTTTAATGCAGGTTCCGATAGGCCTTTTCAAACGAAGCAATTCTAGGGCTTCATTTTGAGGTATTGGACAACCTACGTGGTTTGTCCGGAAAGAAATAGGACTGAGTCGATTTAAAAAAAATTATTGAGCCAATCGTTACAATTCTTTAAAAACTTTCAATCGCGTATCTCTGCTTTAACGAATGCTGCATTTTCGGCTTGCACCACTCACAGAAACGCGTCGCGTAAAAATGCCTGTCCTGACTCTCCAAGTGTTCGGAGACAACTGACCAGCCGCTCATTCGTTAGCTAGGAACGCCCTCTACCGAATCCAGTCGGTGCGCGCATGCTCCGAAGTACAGTCATGGCGGAAGAAAATGAGTCCTGTTACTTTCCGGACAAACCCTGTATATTTTGAATCATAGAAAAAGGGATTATAATTTTCCCGGAAAAATTTAGAAAAATATAACTTTATTCGATTTGCACTTTTCTGTATATCAAAAACATTTTATTTAAAATTACATATCAGACTCTTTAATTTTTATATGGAAATTTTCCATATAAAAAAGTTGGAGGGACAGTCATGACACCCTGTACATACAAGCTGTGCGTTTTGCACAAATTGCAACCGTAACGCAATCTTGCTTCATAATACATCATCAAGTATGTATGAGATTATTTAGGGAATGTGTATATTCGCGTAGTTAATAGCGGGGAAGATTCCGTCTCCTACCTTGCACGCCTTGGTGAACTGTTCCTTTGGCAATTTGGTCCAATCCCCTTCGGGCGAGCAGTGCAGATCGATCGTAATTCCGTTTTCGTAAGCTCGGATCACACGTTGCACCTCCAGTTCCTGGAACGCTTCGGCGAAATCCGTGTACGAAAACGTGCCGTCCTACAACAAACAGGAACCCTTTTAGTCATTATACAGTAACGATAAATTAATATAAATCCGTTGATTTATTTTTAAAATATACACCCTGATCTTTACGTCGGTGGATGGTACACCTCTCGAGGTACACTACAGCTCAGAAGTTTCCGTATTCATAATAATAAAAAATAAAAAATGAAATAGAAGCTGTGTCATATACAAAAAAACAGTTGCGTCAAGTGGATTGACTCTATACTTTCCAAGCGTTCGAAATATCTTCTAGTACAGTTTTTTATATCATGAATTCTCTTTTGGTCAGACACGATCGAAGTGTCGGTTCAAATGGGATGTATAAAAGAAATAGGTACTACAAAGAATCATGTTTTTAATGGAAACTGGTGAAAACATGTAAAGCGTATATATGTATATAAATATTTTCGAAATAAAAAAAAAATTTAAACTTAAGAAAAAAAAGGTTTCTTACATTTAGATATAATACAAAGTATGTATATACATATTTGTAGTATGTATTTATATATGTAGTAACTCGTACAGGCCGCAAAACTTGGCATTACGGACATGCCGACTGGGAGGGGCTCAGAGACTTCTTCTCTAGCTTTCGTTGGACGCGTCGGCTGTCTGTTCTTCGATAACCGAAATTATCCACGTCGTAATGGAGGAATACATCCCTCACACAGTGAAAGTGTCTAGACCAGGGTCCAACGGCTGGTTTAACAAATCGAGTGACGCTGTTCGCTAGCAGAAGATCAAGGCACACAGAACCTTCTTACAAAACCCCACTGTAGAGAACAGACAAGCCGACGGAGAGTCCAGAAACAAATATAAAGAAGCGGTTCGCAATTCCAAAAACCATCACGATATAACAGTTAGGCACAGGGTAATGTCGCAGCGCAATGGCAGTCGGTCTTTCTGGACGCTGGCCAAGCAGATTGAAAAGAACTTCTCACACAGTAGCCTTCCACCACTTACGTGTCAGGATGGAACTATTATATTCAACTCAAAGGCCAAGGCGGAAGTGTTAGCCAAGATCTGTGCTACCAACTCCACCATGGACGTCCCCTCCAACGCCCAAGTGCCGTCAATTCAAAGAGTTCCCTACACTATGCGGGAGGTAACAGTCAGGCATAAGACTTTAAAACGAGTGCTCTTGTCGCTCGACATCAACAAAGCTTCTAGCCCGAACTTGTTTCCTGCCATTGTACTGAAGAGGTGTGCAGCCAAGCTTGCTCCAGTTCTTTCGCGTCACTTCCAGATATCTTATGAATCCGGCACCTTCCCAGAAAACTGGAGATTTGCTCATGTCCAACCCATCGCAAAAAAGAGATCTAAGACCGACCCTTCCAACTACAGGCCTATAGCTCTGCTTTCTGTTTTAAGTAAGATGAGGGAGATCGCGAGCTTATGCACTACCTCGAACGTCACAGCTTGATTAGCGACAGGCCGTATGGTTTCCGGCACCAACGATCCACAGGGGACCTTCTAGTTTACGTCACGCAATTGTGGAGTAAACTCATCCAGTCTTATGGTGAGGCTCATGTCGTTGCTCTTGACATCACGAAAGCCTTCGATCAGCTGTGGCACGCTGCCCTCTTAAGCAAACTTTCATCATATGGCCTCCCAGAAAAGCTTTGCAGATGGGTGGCTGACTTTATCTCTGGCCGCAAGATACCCGTCGTAATTGACGGGTTCTCCTCTTCATCCCACAACGTCAACGCGGGTGTTCCCCAGGGATCGGTCTTGGCTCCGACACTGTTTCTCTTACATATCAACGACCTCCTTTCCTGCACGATCAACCCAATCCACAGCTTCGCTGATGAGAGCACTCTACATGCAGGAATTGAGAGTGACAAGCCGACCTCTGCCGCTGAGCTGGAAAAAAGAAGACTAGCGATGACTTCCTCTCTGACAAGAGACCTGGAGGCTATCACTTCTTGGGGACGCAAAAATCTTGTACAGTTCAATGCTTCCAAAACGCAGTACTGTACTTTGACGAACAAAAAACGTCCCTGCGCTGATCGATGACTCTTCTCTAACAGACAGTCTCGGGACTCTTTCGCACCGGCAGGCTTTCTTCTATCTAGCTCTTTTCTATCGTTACACCAACGGGCTTTCCTTCTCAGTGCTCTCTTCCATGATGCCGCCGTGCGATGTGCCTGCCAGACAGACCCGCCTGACTTTAGCGTCCCATCCTAACCGTGTCGAACTTCGTACATCCAGAACTGCCCGATACGACCGCTCCTTTGTCCCGAGGGTGTCGAGATTGTGGAACTATCTACAAGAGGAAGCTTTTCCCGGTTCTATTGACCTTGGGCGGTTCAAGGATCGTATTAACAAGATTTCCTTGGGATCATCATAGCAGCCGAGGTGTTCCGGCATTTAGGCGCGGCTGCTTCGATATAAAAAAAAACAAAACAATGAAATAAAAAGTCACTTTATGGACGCAAATATTCATATATTGTCGTTTGTCTCGTTTTCTTTAAAATGGCGTCTTGAAATCGTATTTCTAATTTAGAAAGAAGCTCCAAAGACTCTGTAACTCCCTGATTTTCGACAAAACTTTTGAGCTGCTTGGTCTATGGTTTCTTCAACATACAAACTTTCATCTATGTCCAAAAATCATATTTACAATTTTAATAAATTCTTATTTTTGAGGATATCCGAGAATACATTAAGTGGCAAGTCATCTTCTAGGTCAGCTGTATCAGCCTCATTTAACTGGTCTTCACTTTGCATATTTGCATGCTGTTGCTGCTTTGCACTGATTCTTTGGTTACTTGGTGCCAAGCGGTTTTTGCCATATAAACTGCATCCAATGACGTAAGAGGGGTTTCCATGAATTTCACTGTCATATATACGTCAGAACCAGTAATGCACTATTTGGGTTTTCATGAAAAACATTTATTTTGAGCTCTGGTGTAAAACCACTGATCAACAATGTTTGGTATCTGATTCTAATAGCTCTTGATAGATACTTACATAGCATATATAATATTACGTCACGAAATCATTGATTTACACTGCAAGCTAACTTTCATATACGAGCTCCTTCCCACTTCAGTTGGCCCACTTCAAGATTTGTACCAAAATATGCATTTATAAATGACGAAACTATTTACTTATAAAACAATTTATTTTCTCAAAAACATTTTAGATACACTCTAGTCGTAAAAAATACATATTTGAAATCACTTAGACCTATAACTAATAGAACATCTGAACAAATAAACAATGTGCGAATAAATGCGCGAAGTTAACAAAGCAACAATTGAAAGTTACTATTGGGTAACATCACCTTTATGTTTTATTACGGCTGATATTCTTTGGGGCATAGTGTTAACCAAGTTTTGGCAAAAATTTGGTGTAAAGCAATCCCATATTTCTTGAAGCTTTTTTCTCAGTTCGGTGATTGTACGCGCAGGATGTTGTCGAAAAATCTTTTTCATCTCGTGCCACAAAGTTTCAATAGGTGACAGATCTGGACTGCTAGAAACCCATTTCAAAAGTGGTACATTATTTTCTTCCATCCATTTTATAGCCTTTTTTGAGGTATGGCACGCTGCACCATCTTGCTGAAACACAAAATCTTGGCCGGATGTCAAACATTCTTCCATCACTGGTAAAAACGATTCTTCTAAAATTGCCAAATATTTGTTTGTATCCACATTTCCATCAATAAAATGAAGTTTTCCTACTCCTTTTGATGACATACTGCCCCAGACCATAATGGATGCTGGAAATTTCACTTTTCTCTTCAGACACTCAACATGGAATGCTTCATTTTTTTGCGAATAACTCTACTACGACTGTCACCAACACAAACTTCGAATCGGGCCTCATCACTCCATTGTATTGCGCTCCATTGTTGAGGTGTCCATTGTCTATGTTCTTTAGCCCATCTAAGACGATTTTTCTTTTGCAGTGGAGTTAATAGTGGCTTCTCTTTGGCCTATAAACAAGTTGTGCAACTTTAGGGTTTTAACTTCACTTTTTTTTATAAGAAAATTTACCTTGTAAGTGCTAAAACCCAGTTTGTGGGCTTCCCTATGAGTTGTGGACCTCAAAATTCTCCTTCCAACATCGTCACTCCACAGATCACTTAATTGTAAATAATTCCCACGCCTGTTTTTCACGATTATTCTTCTTAATGCTCTTCGGTCGGCATTTGTGATATTCCTTTTTTTCACATATCGTGGCTCAATATTAACTGAACCAGTTACGTTACATCTTCTAACAATATTTCTCACACTGTACCGCGATAAGTCTAACAAAGTTGCAATTTCTGAGTTTGATTTCCGAGAATTAAAAAACTTAATTATCAGTAACCGAATTTTCTCACTAATAACCTTTCCTCTACCCATTTTGAAAACCTTAACTACCCAAAACTATTTTAAACGTATTCTGACAACTGTTACTAATAAAAACGAATGTCATGGCTTTTATTTTTCACAGGCACCTATGCGTTATAGACTTATTTTACATTGAAATGAAAATAGGTTGATATGCTGTAATTGCAACATGTGTTATTTTTATGCTGCAAATTTGATTAGGGAGTGATAAAGTTGGTGTTTTCTACTATATATTATCAAAATATTCATTGTTAATATTTTAAACCTATAACACCCTACTACATCTTTATTTGTGTTTGATATGAAAAAAACTAAGATTTCAACAGTTGGGCCAACTGAAGTGGGAAGGGGCTCGTATAAGTATATACTCGTAGATTATAATCTAGGTTTGTTTCAACAGGCAGATCCGAACCAATTTTGAATTATTTTTTTGTCCGAGGTGAATACGGTACAGAACTAACTCCGATCTGCTCTGTTAGAACAGAGAATGGCTAGTTGTCATAAACATAAACTTGACTGAAGTAAAATTTGAAATGATCAAGCTTCCGTATGCTAGACGGGGAATTTCAGATAATTGTTTTCCGACGTCCTGTAAAAAATAGTTGTCAAGCATGCTTTTAAGAAAACACTTCGGGATTTTACAACCTTGCAAATTGA